GGTGACGAGGTCGGATACTCGGTGGTCGAGGTGGTCGAGGTCCAATCTCCCCAGCTAGGTGACGAGGTCGGATACTCGGTGGTCGAGGTGGTCGAGGTCCAATCTCCCCAGCTAGGTGACGAAGTCGGATACTCGGTGGTCGAGGTGGTCGAGGTCCAGTCTCCCCAGCTGGGTGATGAGGTGGGATACTTGGTGGTGGTCTTGGTTGTCGAGGTCCAATCTCCCCAGCTGGGTGACGAAGTCGGATACTTGGTGGTCTTCGTAGTCGAGGTCCAGTCTCCCCAGCTAGGTGACGAAGTCGGATACTTGGTGGTCTTCGTAGTCGAGGTCCAGTCTCCCCAGCTAGGTGACGAAGTCGGATACTTGGTGGTCTTCGTAGAAGAGGTCCAGTCTCCCCAAGTGGTGGAATGAGTCTTTGTCTTCGTAGAAGAAGTCCAGTCTCCCCAGGTAGTAGATGGAGTGGTGGTAGTACTTTCTGTCGTTGAAGTCCAATCACCCCATGTCGTAGACGTGGTTGTTGCGGTAGTCTTCGTAGTAGAGGAAGTCCAGTCTCCCCAGGTAGTTGGCGACGTTGTAGACTTGGTCGTGGTCTCGGTTGTTGAGGTCCAATCACCCCATGTTGTCGATGGCGTTGTGGTGGACTTCGTAGTGGAAGAGGTCCAGTCTCCCCAAGTCGTGGATGGGGTGGTCGTAGTACTTTCTGTGGTAGACGATGTCCAATCACCCCAGGTAGCGGAAGTGGTGGTAGTGGTCTCTGTAGTTGTCGTAGTACTAGAAGTCCAGTCCTCCCAGGTAGTGGACGGGGTCGTCGTAGTACTCTCGGTCGTAGATGAGGCCCAGTCACCCCAAGTCGCTGCTTCTGCTAAAGTTGATGCCGGAGTCGATTCAACAACAGCAGTAGTTTCCTGACTACGACGAAGGACACCTCCGAGGGCTGGAGCAGCCAACAATGAGAATAGAACGAGAGATTTGCCGGCCATGTCAGACAAAACGGTTAACGAATGTAGTAAACTAAAGCGAAAAGGAAAAAAAGAGTCAACACAAAACGATAGCAAACGAATTGGATGGCTGTTGATGGAGATAATCTGGACAGTGAGAGCAATGGGCAGCATTTCTTTATATCTCATGCACGACTCGAGAAGGACCACCCCAACAGATCGTCATCCACACCTCGACCGAAAGGCGCAGCAACTGAATCCATCCCCCTGGAGGGTTAAGCTGAGTATGTCGAAGTGCCGTTGGGATGCTGTGGGTAAGCATCCACGAACTCTTGTGGAGTTGGGGTGGGGCTAGGTGGCGACAGAGGCGAACACGTGAAGTCGATGCTTCCCGGTTAACGAGTCGCAATCCATGTTGGTGTTTTGCATGTCTCAGGAACGGTGGGCCATTCTGACCATAGAGATTCTTTGCATAGCCCGACTTACTCCGCAGAGACTCATACGTGGTTCACACATCCGAGGATCCCGGGCATAATTTGACGTCAGCTGCGGCTTGCGGTAGGGTAATGGGAATTGGTACTTCGTATACCGTGCGAATAGAAAGTCGAGGCCGTGGCGCAACTGCTGACAGGCTGAGGATGGATACCTGCCATGTCTTAGACAGATCGTGGCTGGTGTGGGCCTTGCAAAAATAAAAAACATTGGTTAGCTTGGGTGTTGAAGGTACGAAAGCATTAAAAACACCCGCTTCTATGATTTAAAGAATTGGTCTTCTCGCAAGATACAGTCATCTTCGAGCAGAGAGCAAGGCAATCTTGGTTCTGCATGAGGGGAGGAAGAATTGGACTGCGCGAATGTTCCACGGCAGTGCACTGCGACGTAATTAAGTGATTCGCCGCAATACAACTTCACCTCACTTGCAAATCCCGGTATAACCCTTTTTTTGAGTACGATGCTATGTCGTCCCCCCTCCCAAAAAAATCTGTCGGCCCATCCTAGGATTTTTGTTTGTCTTCCTACGTTGGCCTCTGCGCAATCCTCAACCCCACCTTCACAGCCATAATTTCGGAACCCTGATTACACGGGCCCGAAGGTGTCTCCACCTTCGTACACAAAGATACAGGTGTGGCTACATCTCACACATGTTGTCGCGCAGGTTGAAGATTGATCAAGTCTAAAAATTACAGGTCTTCTTCTTTTCCATCCTCCAGGTGGAATCGATACTACCGAGCTCACATCAGAACGGAACCGATTCCTTTTTCCTCCGAGAGGCTTCCTTGGTCCCGGACCACATTGAAAAGTTCTGGAATGACATCCTTGGAACAACTAGATTTAGACAGTCGACCAGAACAAGGGCAATATTCCACCATTTCGGCAAAGCGATCGGCCCGCTTAGGCAGCGTAAGCCTGACTGCGATCCACCACAATTTGCGTTGATTTATCCGCATGCTGCGTAGGAAGCTGGCTATGACTAGCTAGCACAATAACGCACCATTTCATCCCCAGGCATCGACAATCTAGACTGGCTGACGGTGTCTCAGACCGGACCACCAATAACATGGACAGAAGTACATCACGTCGGGCCGCCGTGGACCTACAAAATTGATTTTTCCAGCCTTCATTTAAGGTGACAGGATGGGCATCTTCCAGGGAGTACCTAATTGTGTCAAATTGTCTCGAAACTCTCGACTCCGGTCATTCTCGCGCCATATTTCCATAATAAAACTGAGATGAGTGCCAATTCCCTCACACTTGTTAACGTGGATAGAGGCATGTCCTCGACTTCCGCTGCTCTCGTCACTGTAAGCTGTTTGAACCGTCGACATTTGTGGTCAACCTCAATATTCTGCTTCCACGGCGGAATACTCTTTGCCACCAATTTCCAATGAGTACTTCATCAACCCGGACTGATTGTTCTCAATTTGCAAGCTATACGACAAGGCACAATATGGTGCGCCGTCAGATTCTCGAGTCTTCTTCTTGAAGAATTTTTTGGGAACTTGGCTGAGGTCCGTGAACAATCTGCAGTTGATTTCAACTACCAAGCGCGCATATTAGCAAAACAAGCCACTCGCAACAGAGGGATGGAGCGCTCACCGTCGTCCTGAGGGTGGTCTGGAGCGAATGTGGATGTGCATTCGTATAGACAATCCGTAATCTGCAAAACATTGCAGGTCGGTTTGTGCCCTGAGAAAGTACGATAAAATTTATGCTTGATCTTCTTGCCACGCTCGAGTTGGTCATCCTGGGACAAAGTTTCAGTAAATTCCACCGCTCTTCTCTACCGCCGAAATGAAGAGGGTTACGTAGATGGACTGTTATGAAGATTTCAGGAACAACATACCATATAGATGAACCAGTCCATGCATGTGCACAATTTCCGATCTGTCCACTCATCCTTGAGTTTGGGCCAACCCGCATCTCTGGTGCGGTTCCAGCGTCGAAGAACAGATACTCCATAGTGCTTTGTGGCCACACTCGCAGTCACGGTTGCTGCTGTGGGCAATTTGCTCATGACAGCGCCTCTAAGCCCAAAGTTAACACTGTCAAACTTCACGGCAAGAGATTGAATTTGTACCTGACAATCGCCGCCCACCTGTTCGACAACTATTAGCCTCTGAGCAGATCGTGATACCGTGACTGAAATCTCACGCGTCTTCAGGTTGAATCACCCGAATTCCTGGATTTGAGTGCTGAATCACTTCCTTCAGGTATCGACTAGACCCCATACCACCAACAAGAAATATAGCCTGAGAATGGTTCAGCAAGCGCTACAGAGTTGTACGGGATTGTGTAGTGCCCACATTCACTCCCTCCTTCTTTCGCGGGCTGTCTTGCAGAAGTTTAGTATTGGCATTGTTGACCTGCTCCTTGACCAATCGATCAATCTCACCAACGACGGGCTCGAAGATTTTGAACAGTGTCTCTCTTCGTGGGGGGGTCAGCCACTATGTTCTGAAATGCTATCCAGGAGAACCTACCCTGATAGAGTCATCGCATTTTTGATCAACCCTTCGGAAGGGTTGTCTTTCAGGTCAGCCATTGGAAAGCTGACGTATTTGACTGGATCATTCTTGCCCCTAAACCCAGGCTTGATGACACTATCGAAGTCTTTGAGTGCCAGGCGATATGCACCAGTATCCTTGAGCTTGAAGTATTGGGAATCTCTAACCACCTTTCTTATTTCTGCTTCGAACTGCTCATTGATCATGGAACTTCCAGCAAGTCCACCTCCACAAGAACGATTAGCCAGAGACGAGTAAGCCCATTAGAGAATGGTGCATACCAGATGGCCTCGTTAAAGCCTTGACTTCGAAGGGCGCCAAACTGACTATCTCATACGAGATCAAGTCTGCAGTACCGCCCCCCGCATCGCATACGACAATTGCATCTTTGGCCTGTGGCAGTGAGCAAAGAACGCCGAAGACCGCGCAAATACGGATCTTCGATACCTTTAGACCCTTACTCCTCATCGAATGCAAAGTGAACAAGGCTGCTGCTTCTGGTTCAGTGATCATTTCAACGGGCGCGATACCGGCAGTTTGCGCTGCCTAGATAGCCGTTAGTTTGAACCCACTCAAAGAGAGGAATGGTGAGTAGAATACTTGTAATGTCATATTTTTGGCTTTGTCGGACCATAGAGCAGGCACCGTCAAAACGCATTGCCTTTTCATCTGGCTCAAAGATTCTCGGTCCATGTATCCGTCTCCGATTGCCTTGATAGCGTGCTGGAAGATGGCGCGCATGTAGTCACTGGCAACATTGACAACGTGTTTTGGAAGCTTCGCATTTTCCGCCTCAAAATTTGTGCAAGGGCAGTATGGCTTCGGTTGTTCAGGGTCAAAGAGCAGCTTAATGCGTTCGATCTTCTCTCCGGATGAGCAGTCAAGGTCGTAGCCCCATTTGAGACCCTTGATGTAGCCAGGTTCGTATCGTATGGTGGTGGGAGCTTTGGACACTATTCTGTCTTCTCCCGGCCATGATTGGATAACTCGCACATTTTCAGGGTCGCTCGCGAAAGCGTAGGCAATGCTATTTTCACAAAAGTAAGATTAACATGCACAGTCATTCGGTCGCAGTATTAACATACCCACTATAAGTCGTCCCAAAGTCAAGAGCAATGATCAAGCATTCTTCAACGGTCTCATCACCGATGCTGAAGCCGTCAAAAGCATCACTCAGTGCGTCGGAGATATCCGGTGACATGTCCATAGTCCACGAAAGGCACAAGGTACTGCAGAAATTGGCAGGGAGAGCACAATATTCTTGTAGTTAGAGCGGTCCATTCTTGGGGCGTCTTTCCTGTGATATGACCGCATCTTGACCGGCATTTGTGACCTCACAGGTGTTGTCTCAGGCTGAAGAGATGAGTCTGAAACCCAATGTCGGCGGCTACGCCAGTATGAGGCATGGATCAAGCTGAGCAATGATGGAAAACTTCAATGAAACAAGTCAGTCACCCAGACGTCTTGAATGACTTACGACAACATGCACACAGTCAATATGGGTGATGACGTTCGGTAGAGAACCATAAATTCTAGCAACAGCTCTGCATCTTCAATGCGCGGCTCGCTCCATTGGTAACTTCTCTCTGTGAGTCTCTGACAACCTGAGGGCGTCAAGCCGAGATCCAAGCTCGGGCCGTAGCTGCTTCTTGAGATTCCCCTGAGTCCCAGCCTCGCACGCCAAGTCCCTTGATCCAGTGATTGGCCGGGCTCCATCATAGGCCGGCGTCAACCGACATTATCTGTGTCACACTTTACCGCCACATCCTTGACATGAGAACGAACTTCTTCACCAGCATATGGTCTTCGACCATCTAGCCCGCGAACTTGCATCCACAGTGAGACGGTGCCAGCTGCAGGAGGTTGTCCCGCGCGGCCACCGATGTATTCGTAATCCAATTTCTTCTTCTTGAAGGACACTGCCGATTTTCGACCCAATGCTGGGTATTCACTTCAGTAAATATAATGCTACTACTCTTTGACTATTTCACAAGAATCACGCGCTACCTGCGTTCTCATTCTTACGCTCCCAACACGGCAAGGTCCTCGGAAGCGATGGAAGGTGTAGTGCAGGGGCACGAACAAACAACGGGCTATGAAGCGCGACGGGAGTTTCGTCATCAGCCAAAACCCGAACGAGAAGAGGAGAGCAAATCCAGAACCATGGACAAGAATATCCTGCGCCATAAACTTCAGGCGATTCATGAGAGGCTCTCTGAGGGATTTCAGAGTTTGAATCTCAAGCTCGATGATGTCCTGCAAACTAGACAACAAGTAAGTCGATTAAAACTTGTCTCTTCGTGAGCATCCAAGAGCTTGCCCAACAAATGGCGGCCAAAAGCTCACTCCTGCCAGGCCCCACTCCCTCGAACATCAAGTGCCCAAGAGCAATCAATCGTCCCACTCGAGGCCGGTGATGCGGCTTTTAAACAGCCAGATGCCATCATAAGACGGCTTCAAGTGCAGCTGAAAGATCGAGAGCAACAACTGGAACAACAGAAGCTGCTCAGTGGCAACTTGGGAAATCAACTGGCTGGCAACAAACTGGAGCTTGCAAGATTGCGCAAAATGATGATTCGTGCCGGACATAAGGAGGACGCGCCCATGGACGACGACGTTGCAGAGAGATTCCTCGCAATTCGGAACGACATTTTTCAATTGGTCAGAAATCATTTCAGCCAATTGGCGAAGGATAGGAGCGGCCTTCCCCAAGGCGCCTCCGCCGACCTTCTAGAGCTGATTATCCAAGCGGAAGTCGCAGATATTCTCTATCAATATTTCTTCAGTCCCCAAGCTTTGCTTTTCGGCTTCGGCGATGAGGAAGACAACAACATATTGAAAAAGATAGAAGAAGCTGCGTTGAGGCAACGGTGTAACCGTGAGTCAACCGGACAAAGCAAACTGCGATGTAGTGATGAATGCCGCTGACCTAGAAAGCAGCAGTCAAAGTCATTGAATGGCGAACAAGCACCATTCGAATTATCAAATCCTTGAACCTTGCCAGCGAAGACAATTATCCTGCTCGTGTCGCGAGGCAGAATTGGGATCGCGTTCAATCCAGCATGCGGCATCTGAGCACCTCCGCCGAGAGTCATCGTGACTGCAGAGATTTTGAAGGGGTGTGTTGCAAGGCCTATGAGCTTGCTCTGTGGTTGCGAGGAGCAAAAGTCGAGTATGAATGGGGACAGGATCCTGGGGGCGTTGCTTCGATTGCGGACAAACCAGACGAATGTGAGATTATAGGAACGACCGGCCCTGCACTAGACCAACCCCACGAAATTGGTCGCATTGTATTTGGAGCGTTGTTCAGAGGCAACCGGAAGACGGGCCGCTTGGAAGACGGAAGAACTCGCCTGATGAAGGCGTTTGTGATTATGAATGAGCCTGGGAAGACAGGATTCCACGCTAAGTGCCACATTGCAAATAACCCACATGCTCTACCGTAATGCACAATCAAGCGGCTTGATGATTCACCGGAATGCGGAGGGAGCTGCATTTCGTCTCCTTTGGCACGAAGAACCTATTCCGCCGACAACCACGTTCTATTCTGTGGCGGACGTCTTTCGTTTATGTAAATGTAGCAGCACATTCATTACGCCCCGCCTTACGCTAACCCTTGGATCTCTTCCAGCCTTCGCAAGCCCGGAAATGCAACTACAATTCACCAAGCTCCCTCGGTTCGTGATTGCAACTGCAAGTACACGACGCATCTAAGACTTGTGGAGGATGGAGACCACAACAAAAAGAGATATGACATCAGACACTGTTCCGACGGCCAAGTTCTTGCAAGGTGCGTGAAGCCGATGTGCAGGTCAGATTCTAAAGAGGAGTAACGCGAATTATTTCCCGACATCCTCAATTTCGCCCCGAATATATGGTCTATGGGCCCAGGATCATCTAAATTCTAACATCCACGTGTCTTTCAGCTCGCATATCGGCCCTCTCAACCACATTGATCAAAAGACTAGAGAACATTTTCGCCGTCGCCCTGGACGAAACGGACACACAAACCGCCGCATCTACCAGCGATGACGCTCCAGCCCCGGCCTCCCTGACAGAGACGTCGGTTCAACAATTTCAACTCGACGTCGAATCTACAGCAGTGGTTCGGGCGGCGGAGGAGATCATGATGTTAACGAGAACGATGAAGGAAATTTGGCTCTTCGGCGGGTTAGATACGCTGGCACAGGACCATGAAAAGGACCAAGATTCGAAGAACGAAGCAGCTAGACAGAAGATGGACGAGAACGTCAGGGTTGTAGAGGAAGGCTTTAAAAGGTTTCTCGACAAATACGAGACGATGCTGGACATGAATGGCAAGGATTAGGAGGCCTTTGAGTTCATTCATCCAGTCCCCGTCGACTTTTCGCCTTCTCATACCTGGGCATGATTTGAGGCTCAACAGCCCCGTCCAGCTCTGTACTATAGATTGCCCTTATCTCTTAGGAGTAAAGCGCTCCGCCGGTCGCCCTCCCTACGGTTGCTTGCGTTCCCAGCCTTGCCTTGCCGGGCACCTAAAAGGGAGCATCCGAAAACATTGGGGATCCATAGTCTCTTAGTGGACTTTCTAGCACAACACATCTCTCAAGCCGGGGATATTATCCGAAGCTTCCGATGCTTCTCCCAAGCTGAAATTTCCTTACCAAGCACCTGGAATTGGTTCGCGTGGGAGTTCTAGCTTATTTATGGTACGTCGCGATCTTGCTACGAGTTCCCTTGGCTCTCTTCGTCGCGATATCGGCTGCCCTCTCACGAAACCTCCCATCAGGCAAAGCAAAGCAGAGCAAAGCGCCGCCTTTTTCATCTTCATTCCGCTGACCGTCCCAAAATCCATCCAAACAAACAATGTCCACAATTCCAACGCCCCCGTCAACAACACTCTCAACACCTCCATCTTCCACGGATCTACCAATCAACACTTCTCAGTTCGACGTAGACTCGGACGACGACACTGAAACCAAAATGTCCCCGTCAAAGCGTATCACCAAAACGACAATAACAACCATAAAGTCCATCACCGTCAAGCCGAAACCAATCTACGTCATCGTCGCTACCAGCTTGAACCCACCCATGGGCATTGGCTATAGAGGCAATCTGCCCTGGTCGCCAATCAAGACCGACATGGCTTTTTTCAAGGCCGTCACTTCTCATGTGCCGGCGACACTGGCATCATCTACGAGTAAGTCGACAACGCAAACTTTGAACGCGGTAGTAATGGGCCGGAAAACGTGGGAAAGCATCCCGACCAGATTTCGCCCGCTGGTGGGACGGTTGAACGTGGTTATCACGCGAAGCAAATCTGTGGAATTGGGGCAGCGAATTCAGGCAGATTTGAGTGCCGTCAGCCCCATGGCAGCAGAGTGGGCAGTACACGAGTTCGAATTCCCGCCCGGAATGTCGACGAAACCCACGAAAGCGGTTGAGACGAGCGCGATACTCATTCCACCACCACCATCTCCTGCTTCGTCCCCGGCACAAGCACCGATCCTAATATCGCCATCCTTAACTTCAACTCTCGCGCTGCTATCCACGCCATCCGCCATCTCCATCCCAGCACATGGCGAAATCTCCATCTCCAAAATCTTCTGCATTGGCGGTGCCGAGATCTACCGACAAATTCTATCCCACTCTTCCACGGGCACGCATAATAGCAACCTCCGCTCTAATAACCACGAAACCGACACGGACGGCGAAGACGAATTCGACGTTCGCATCCTGCAGACGCAAGTTCGCCCTATGAAGTCGAAAGGGCCCGAGGATAGCGACGTCGACCTCGAATGCGACACGTTCTTCCCGGACGCATTGCCCGCGGACCCGGGCATTAAGTCTGCCAAGTGGAAGCCCGTGTCTGAGACACGGTTGATGGAATGGGTGGACGGCATCGCCGTGCCACAGGCACAGGGCAAACAGCCCACTGCAGACGGTGAGGAGGGCGAATGGTTCAAAGACGAGAAAGTTGGCATGAAGATTCGGGTTGTCGGGTGGGAGAGACGGTGAGCCAAGCAGGCGGCACAACTTACTTTGAATTCTTTCCAAGTCTAGCCACAAGCCTTGAAGCTACGGCCAGAAAGAGAAGCGGGATGTCGATTTTCCCAAAACGAATTATGGGAGAAACTCCGACCTCTGCAGGTTCGGACCCGATCAAATACCAGGTGCACTTACAGCGATCAATCGACCAAAGAATCCGAGGAAGACGGATTGAACGGCCGTCAGAGCTGCATGGTTACTGAAATCCTATGATCTCGCTGCAGAGAGAGATTTTTTCAAGCTCTCTTGTTCGGGGTTTCAATCTATTCCCGTGTGGTTCGGAGACGGAAAGCATATCAACTGCCTGCCCTTACCTTGCAGGCCGCGGGAGAGAAAATGTAGACGGAGACAGCCTAACTATTTCTATGTCTCTGGTGGCCCACGCTGATCGAGATGACCCTAACGCGGTAGAACCGAGCTAGGGCCATGTTCCCGCTGGAGATCGATCCCTCATGGTCTCATATTCCGAAGTTTCCACTTCATGCCCTATGTACGTACCTCCTGGGAAGATGTCATTCGATTGATGGGTAAAGACACTCAATAGTCATTGCTGCCACCATATCCGCCTGCCTCACGTCTTTTCTCCACACCGCGTTCCGACAATTTGTCACTTCCGAAAAAGACTCCCGGCCTTTTCCATAATCTTGCCAGCGGTCGAGTCTTTCTTCCCTCGGGAGTGGTCATCGTCGTCATAGCTGCTACCGCCATAGCCACCTCGCTCTTGTTCTTGGGTTCGGCCGGAGCTCCTGCCCTATAATTGAGATAACCAGTGAGCCTGGTCTCAGGACAGTATGGACGGTGTGCAGAAGACTCACATAGTCATCGTCACGGCCGGTGGAAGTACCACCAGTTCTCGCGGAGTCCCCATATGTATCATCGGAGCCTGAGACGAGTTAGACTACAGCGTGTTGTGGATTGAGCATCCCAAAACTAAGAGGCTCACCAAAGCCACCACCAGTGCGACCAGATGAGCCATAAGTGTCTCCACGACGACCATAGTTATCGTTATCGCCCAAGCCCCCGCCAGTGCGTGTGCTGGAACCATAGGAATCGTCACTTTGACCGAAGCCACCAGACAACTGATCAGTGGTTCGGCTGCTGTCCTTGCCTGTGACAGCATTAGTAAGTCCAGAAATGTGACCGTATCTCGGGGCCGGCTAGGCCGTACCGTATCCATTGTCTCGACCAGTGCTTCGACCGCTAGTATTTCCAGAATCGCCATAGATGTCATCGCTTCCTAGACCACCTCCAGTGCGGTCAGAGCTTCCGTACGCATTGTCACTGCCCAGTCCAGCTCCGGTTCGGCCGCTATCATCATAAGCACGGCCTGTTGCGCCTCCGGTGCGATCAGATGAGCCGTATGTATCATCAGATCCTAGGCCTCCACCTGTTTTGCGACCAGAGTCATAGCGGTCGTCACCGTAACCACCACCTCGACGGCCGCCGGAGCCCTGTGCAATATTAGCCAGGACTCGTTGAGGGATGAAGTATTCCATACATAGCTGTCACCACCTCCGTAACCACCACCGCGCTGCTACAGGAGTATTAGTCCAGTAAATAGGAAGTAATGAGGTTCAGTATACGTTGTCATCGTTGTAAGACATCTTGGTTACCACAGCTCTTTTGTCAATTCACGTGGAGACTTTTCGTAAAATGCAGGCTGCTGGAAGACCGGAAAAGCAAGAGGAAGATGGGTCATGAAAGCAAGTTATACGACCGAGGAATGAACAAACTTCTTGCCTCAAGCACGTCAGTTCCAAGGTTGTCAATTGCAACCCCCTAAACCTGAGGAAAGAGCTCAACAACATACGTAAGTCTCAATCTCAGCCAATTATCTGGTGGAGGGACCCCCGCGTAAATCAAGGAACAGGGTTGTTAGACAGCTGAGCTTGGCCCAAGGGATGATGCATCTCGTCAGATCTTGTTTGTTTGTTATGGAGAGGAGAGTTTTTGGGCAAGGAAAGGGACGGAAGAAGGGAGAGATGGTGTTGGAGTGTGGAAGATGTATGGTGGAAGAAAACGAGACTGCGATCCGCAGTTTTCAGTTTATGATTTGCGCCCCGCAAGTCAGAACATCATTACCTCGTACCTCTGGTGGGCATACAGATTCTTCCCCTCCAGCCGATGTCATGCACTGTGCAGTCAAAGAGCCAAGACCTGCCACAGCTTCCTGTACCACTGTCCCTCATCTCGTCTTCTCGGGGTTCGTTGCAACTCCTCCTGCTGAAGTGAAGGCATTCTGTTCTCCCAGGTGATCGCAACGGCTCCATGAATCGAGACGGAATACCATATTCGCTCTCAATCAGCGTATTTTCGAGTCCGTGGTCAGAGACCTGCCAACAACGGCCCGACTGCGGCTTTTGACTCAAAAGCAGTTAGCGCCGGGTCTAACGCAGAGCCTGCAGACATTTCAGCTTGCTCTGTCCCTTTACCGACTCTCTCGGCCGGCGTTCTCTTCGGTGGCCAATATGGCCTGGTGAACCTTGCCAGGTTGAACTCGTGGTATCATCCGCATTCTGTGTAGCAACATGCCAGTAATTATAAATAGCTCTCAGTGTCGCCGAATTTGGTCGCCACCGTGAGGACCTGGTCGAGTACCACTATCGGATGTATTTGGACTGTAATTCTGGTCAGTACCTCTGCAATTTTGTTAAAGCAGTTTGATAAATGCCTACCATAAACTTTTTGTGAAAATCTGATCGCAGTAAATCCTGTGTCCTTGTCAGCGTCCATACCTTCCAGTTTCATCCAAATCCAGCATGTACACACATTGACAAATTCTTTGTTGCCCCTTTGCTCTGTTCCTCTGGCTTGATTCTTGAAAACCACATCATCGTCCCACCTCCGCTTGAGATTGAAGGCTTTGGGATTGAGTAGTGGGTTCCCCAGAGCAATATCTTCTTCACGACGTTCTTGTGCCTGCTTGGCTTGTTCGGCCTCTTCTTTGGCCTTTTGTTCTGCTCTTTCTCTCTTGATCTTCTCCAGTTCGCGCATCAGTTCAGCTGTTTCGTCTTCGTCGCTTTCCTCGTCGCTACTTCCGCTATCATCCCCATCGGAGTCTGCGTCTATCTCGCGAGTCTCTTCTAGAATCCTCCTCCGTTTTGTCTCGGGATCCTCGTTCTCGTCGTCACTCGGCGACTCGTTAAAATCGCGTTTGAGGGGCTTAGGAGGACCTGTCGCATTGTCGGTGGCTGTCTCTCTGGTCTTTGCGAAATGTGCTGCTTCTGCGGCCAGCAGTTCTGCCCGCAAATCCCGCTTCTCTGAATCGGCAGCTCCACCTTGGCCTGGTTGTCTGGCGTACGTCAGACGTGGTTTGCGCATTGAGGAGATATGATTACGGACCGGACTTTGAGAAAGGTGTGGGCTGGAAGAAGTCGTTGATGGTAGGCTGGACCTCGTTGCGCTTCTTTGCCCCGAGCAGGGTCGAACGTCGGCCTATGAGCTTTGAAGAGCGTCAATAAATTGCGATGATTAAATCTCCCCCACCCCGAAAATTGGGTAGCTCACCAGTAGTCATTTTGACACGAGGGCAAGTATACAGTCAAAGGCACTTTGAGCGGAAGGAGAAGAGGCCAGGCAGGTGAGAAAATGAATGGCCGTGCACGCGACCTTCAACCAGCTTGAAGGCAAAGCGTTTCCATGAATCTTGGCACAGGTGCCCCAAACCCACTGGCACGTGTTCTTCTTTGTACAAACTCCCCTACTCTCATTGACCTCGCCGCATTGTTCGCAAAAATACAAAATCGGCTTCACCCTGAGTGAACTTCTTTCAATTCTCAGCACTTCATGTGAATCCCTCTAATCTGCGAAATTCAACATTAATTTTCGGCTACGTGATCTGTCTCCTATATGGATCCAGCACTGAAAGCTCTTTAATTGTTCAACGCTTAGCCATTCAACCAGCGCTGCGGAAGACAGAGTATGAGGATGGCCAGCACCCAGGACCAGGCTTCGCAGTTGTACACACTCCGTCATGAGTCCAATGGCCCCCATTTTTGTGCCTCGAACTTTTATGGTGAATGCAAGATTGGCCATCCTGGTCAGTGTCGATTCGCTTAGAGCTTGCGAAAGTCCAGAGAGAGAAGAAATTGCAACTCAAGTCCCCGCCCAATTTTCTACGCCGTCCGTTTCCCTTTTCCATCAGGAGCATCGAAGCTCAATACGGAAATTGGACGGCGGTAAAAGATGGTTTGTCTTGCAAACTGGCCGAAAGGTAGTAAGCTTCCCAGGGTACTCTTTAGTCGGACCTGTCGTCGTTAGGCGTTGTGTCGCTTCCGCCGAGACTGACGCTGTTGCTTCGAATGCTTATTCTCCCCCACGAGCTTCCCTGAAGGAGTGTCAGACCCGTGAAAGATGGTAGTAGTGCCGGAATCGTCACTGAGAAAGGGTTGGGACTCTTGGAACAACCCGAGCAAAATGGAGATAATGGGTGAATGGCCCGCAAAGGAGTTTGTCTATTAATGCTCTGTGACTTTCCTCCCGCTTCGCAGGTGAATCTGTGTATAGTGCCGCCGAGATTCTTCGGACTTCCGCCAGGTCGCTGATGCAGTTGTGATTTATTTGATTCCGCAGGCGTAGCCCTATTGCATGCAGTGCGATCTCGGACAAAATCCGAGGATCGCTACTTCACACGAATACCCGATTTTTGTCCTTCATCACAGCGAACCACAGGAGCACGAGCAATGCCGTAGCCACCACGAGCACAGCGCCACTCCACAGCTGCACACCCCGGAAAGCGGCAGGGGAAGAGAGCCTGTCATCTGCACTGGTCAACGCCGCACCGATCGGAGTCCCGATCAGGAAGGCCACGGCAGAGCATGCCCACGACATACCCATCCTCGTACCCAGCATTTCGGGATTGGGACAGACGAGCGGCAACACGCTGGCTGGGAGTGCGACCAGCGCCGCGGAAAACAGGCCATACAGGGCGCAAAAGACGAAAAAGCTTCCGACCGAGTCCATGGCAGTCCAACAAAAACAGAAGAGGACGGAGACGGCCGTGCACACAAACCAAGGTACCATGCCGCCAACATGGTGCGCGACAGACGCCGCGATGGCGCGGCCAAAGAGGCTCGTCACCTGCGAAACCACGAGTGCGGTCAGTGCCAACGACGGAGAGGTGTGGAGCGCCTGCTCGGCGAACGCGGGGATGTAGAAGTACGGCACGATGTAGCCGAGGAACGTGAAGAACATGATCGCGGCGAATGCATCGAACAACGGGTCCCTAAAAGCGGAAAAGTCGATAAGCTGACGTGCTGCCCTCGGTGGACGCTGGTTTGATGCCGGAGATTTCCACAAAAGACACGGAAAAGAGAGCAGGAAGACACCTGATGCGATGAACCCCATGATACGGACCGTCCAGGGAAAGCCAACCCTCGCGATCAGCTGCGAGAAGGTGGTCGTATAGACGATGCCTCCTACGGCGATCCCGCACGTCGCAACTCCCACGGCGATCGCTCGTTTCGTGGTGAAACTCCCGCTCACCAGTGCCAGGCTGGGTACGTACAGCAGGCCGCAGCCCAGACCGACACAAATACCCTGCGATAGGAGAATCTGATAGTATTCGATCGAGAGGCTGAGCATCATGATACCAAAGATTGTCAGGAAGCTTCCCGCGAGAATCATGGTCTTGTAGTAGCCCAGATCGAAGAGTGGGCCAGAGATGACGCCCACTATGATCAGGAGGAAGGACTGGATGGTGCCGATCCATGAGATAGATGATGCTGAATGGGAAGGGTGGAGATGGAGGGCATAATAGCTTTGGAACGCACCAAAGGCGAACGTAAAGCCCCTTTTTTTGAGTGAGCCTCGTGTATGGTAGCAGGCAGATTCAGACTACAGGATCACAGACCAGATATTGAAGAAAACCAGGAATCCTCCCAGCACATACGTCCACGCTTGCCAACCTCCGTCCGATGAGGCAGTAGAGCGGGCCGCTTCTGTGATATTTTGCCCTTGCCCAACGTCTGCGGTGTTACCATGGTCTATCATCTCATCCTCGGCGTCGATAGTGTGGAGGCCGTGAGGATTGCGGGCCGGGAGGGTGATCGAGGCGCACTGGGAGAGACGAGACATATTTTGAAGGAGCCGGGAAGAAAACATGAAGGGTGTGTCAGCACACCAGAGGTGAACAAGTTAGGAGGGAGATGGGAAATCGGGGTTCTTATAGTAACGTCAAAAGCGGCGGCGCGCCCAGCCTGCGACTATGCACCCTCGAACAGAAGCAAAACAAAATTCGACACGAGATTCTGCAACAAAAACCTTAACTCCAGCAGCATACCGGATATTTGAAGTGGGTGGAGAGTCGCTCTCACGAAATGCTGTGGTATCGTTGCCAGGTATGCATATAATGTCTAGACAGGCATGACCGTTCAACAATCTTGCCGCTATTAGGTTCGCAGGCTCGTGTATTGAGTCGTAAAGATTCACTAAATCTAGTATCGGGCTAACCACGTGTCAATATCAGCAAACCGAAAACCTGATTCAAGCTCAAATGTCGGACCACCACCTTAAAAGTTCTCGCCGTGACTCGCTGATTCGAATCATCCCATCAACAAAGGCAGTCCTCTATGCGTCTTGACAGGCGTAAGATTAGCAAGGAAACAGGAGCGCAAAGAGCGCGAAAGAATGCTTCAGGAGGTGAGTTCTTCGGACCTTCAATAGTCATCTCCCGCCATCGGAAGCTGTTGTTAACTCTTCCAGAACGTTCGAGAAGATCAAATCTATGCACGGCGCTTAGTCTTGCAATCGGCCGGACTTACAACTTCGACTTTTCAAACTTCAGCATCTTGCCCTCGATATTTCCCGGCGCATCGACATCGAAATCCCACCGATCCGGCACTCGCAACCCTTCATCTCTTACGTACGGCTTCATGAGTAGCACGCTAATCCCATCTCGCCACAAGAAAGGATCTCCTGTATCCGCCTGCCACCGTTCCAGATCTGCTCTCATCTCTCGCACCACATCGGCATACTCCGGATCTTTTGCAAGATTATGGACCTCAGCTGGATCAGCATCTAGATCGTACAACTCCTCGGGCGGGCGTCTGATATAGTCTTTCAATTTTCGAGGACCGACCATCGCGGTGCCGCCATGTTTCGCTGCCGAGTTGCGTATACCGTCCCATGATAACGATGCGTACAAGTCAGCAGCAAATGGAAAGTCAAGTTTCCATGCCACATTGCGATGGTATTTGAACCTCTCGTTCCTCAAAAACCTAGTGGGCCAGAAATTTGAGATCTCATGGAAGGTGTGGGAACCATAGACTTTGCACCACGCGTCGAGTCGCTGACTCTTGGACATTATGGGAAGTAGCGATCGTCCACGCCGGCGGCTGGCGTTCGGTGTGTTGAGTGCAGGGTGGCCAGCCCAGTCGAGCATGGTCGGAAGAATGTCCACCCAAGAAACGAGGTTTGGATTCACGACGCCTGGAGACGAGCCCGGCTGCCGGATAATGAGCGGAAGGTGTACACCCGCATCATACAGAGTGGTCTTGGAGTTAACGAAAGGAGGTCCGTTATCGGACAAGAAGATGACGAGCGTATTGTCTGCCACACCTCGTTGGCGCAGCTTGTCCAGGATCAGCCCGACGCCCTGGTCCAGGCGATTTATACTGCGACAATACTCGGCAAGCTCTGTCCGAACCCCCGGTAGATCACTCAAGTAATTTGGAACAAGCACTTCCCCAGCGGTATACCTTTTGTCTTTTATCCGAGGATCATAGCCGAAGTCCCTGTTGCCAAAGCCTGCCCGTTCTGCCATGTTTCGATGGGGATCGATGTAGCCGACGGTCAGGAAAAATGGCTTCTCCCATCTTTGTGCCTGAGCGATGAATGATTCTGCACGATCAGCAACCCAAGCAACATCGCGGCTCTCACTTTCGTCCCGAACTTGCCATGGGTAGAGTTCTGGTGGTCCTACATGGACCTTTCCGATGATTCCCGTCAGATAGCCAAGACTTCTAAAAATCTTAGGCGCGGTGTCAACATGAGAGAATGTGCAGAAAGCATTCCAGCCGTCTGAAAGTCCGTAGTTGCCATTGGTGTGCGTGTGCAACCCCGTGTAAATGACGGTGCGTGAAGGTGAACATGAAGCCGTGGACGTGAAGCCGTAGGTGAAACGGGTTCCAGTCTGGGCTAATGCGGTCAAATGAGGCGTTTTGGCTGGCGACTGAGGGTTATAAGTTGATATGTCGCGACCAAGATCATCCGCAATCAGTAGTAATACGTTCTTTGGCCCAACCATGGTCAGGCCGGTGTGGTATTCTGATGATCGACCTTTCTGTCGACGCTTAAACTCCGCTGGGAATGGCACTTTAGTATGAACGCGTGAGGGCTACCTCATCTTCCAAACAGAAAGTATGTACCAAGCCCTTCTGACATGTTTCTGTTGTAAAGGCCGAGGGGAAACCCTTTCGGGAGAGTTCCTTCACGGATCTCGTAGCGATATCCGTTACAGTCTCCTCCCAGTCTCCACCTCTCTGGAGCCCTGAATCGGGTCTTCAGGGACTAAGATCCGTCAATCTCGAGTTCCCGGCCAATAGTCGAGCCACGACTGATCTTGGTGAAAGTCTGTGATCCATGTGGGAAGCTCTGCATTGTAGGAGCCATCTGCAAAGGTGGCAGCAGGCTCCCAGAAGCTTGTCATTTCGGATGGGTAGAGAAGCTGAAGTTCCTCGTCGATCCATGTCTCGTGACGTAAGGGGTTTTCACGGATGTCTGGTAACGGATGATGCGATGTAACGTTCTGTCCATCGACCGCTCGGTGTGTTCCGTTTGGTGACACATGGTGCCTAGCTTGCAATGATATAGACGAGTTCGGCGTATGCGTGGTGGCCGTGGGCGATACGGTCTTCTCTGGAGCATGTTTTTCAGGGATTGATTTGCGAGCCATTCTGTAGATTGAGAGTGGATGTAGGACATAGTCAGGAGCGCTTTGTGCTGGCGTCCCCGGAGCGGTGGAACTGTAAGCAACGCTGTAAGCGAACGAAGCATGACACTAGAGGACGAGAATGACACACCTGCACGCCTCATCTGACTCCATGGGGTCTTCAGGCCCGAGATTGTGAGTGTCACCCGCTATGTTGAGTTTCGAAAGCATCTTTTCCGCCGCAATGGACTACCAGATGTTATCGCACGACGGAGGATTTTAAGTAAAGGTCTTACCAGAGGGTCAGCCATGGCACAGAGCGATTGCATAGCTTTGAGTGCATTTATATTGCTCTTCAGAAATGTTGTTGTCTCGGACATAAGGTCTCTTCGACTTGGCTGTACCTGAGTTACATAGTAAACCATGTGACGGCACGATTCATAGGTGATGCTTGGCCACCAGAAGTCGGCGAGAGCACTAGGTCCTTGTCGGTGAATTGCCTCAACGATTATGTTCGCAATGCTTTTTGCATGATCATATAACTCCATTTTGCGCTGAGCAAGATAATCTTGCTGCTGATAGGGGAAATCGAAGGTTGACCGTAGCTTGTACAGCCGCGGCACAAAAATGCGGTACAGATCGATTAGAGTCGCACTGTATGTAGCATGCAAGAAGCAGAGTGCACCCAGTTCGCCAGTCTCTGCCCGGATATAGAGGGTACTTGGATTGAGCTGAAGATTCTGTGGAAGGGAAGAATGCCAATCGGTGCATTCGTTTTTGAGAGCCGTGAACTCGGATTCTGGCAACCAGGGCGGCATTGCGGAGTGGAGCTGCTTCACGTACCTGTATTCACTGAGAAACTGATTGGTCAGAGTGGATATGCGATACTTGCCTCAAGATTTTCTTCCTGATGGCGACTAGGCGAATGTAGAATGCTGTGAGTCCCATATTGTCTGTGGGTTTTGGTGGAAGCAAACGTTCAGGAATGAAGCTCAGGACCTCTCCTGGCTCCAGCAGCTCGGTGACACAGGCGGTTTGAAGCATGAACAACCTTTCATCACAAGGAAGCTGGATCTTGATATCTTCCTCATGCAGTAAGGTCAGTTGATCAACGCCGCTTCCAACGGATGCATCCGTGATGTAGCAAGCCCACATCAAACGACGTCGAGATTCTTTGGTAGTAGCATCTATAGCATCTGTGCCGTCATGGCTTAATATGTCACTCGAGAACTCAAGGTTTATTTGAAGTGCTTGCGCCATGCGTGCGGTGAAGCCGGTAAGCATGAAAGCGGTAGAGTATTTGCCAAGTCGAATCTGGTGGTCTTGGAGAAGTACAGCAGCCTGACAAACGTCAACGTCAACAACGTCTGCCATGTTTGAGATCGCACCATGAGATTCTCCACTGAGATTTGGCTGAGACTATGCAAGATCTTCGCCAGGGCGCGCTCCGCCCACTTGTTGCCTGTCGTCAGAATCCATTTGGTCGGCAGGAGCCTAAATTGTTTGCTATATCGCAGAGCGAAAGATCTGGTCATTGGTCAGTGTGTCACCGTTCTCTGGCAGAACCAACATACTTGGCGCCCAGCGAGCACACAATGTGAAGCAAGGCATCATCTCTTTCTGTCGCTGAGCCATCGTCCAAGCTCTGTAAGAATGACGGCTTGTGCAAGAAGCCGAAGCAACGAAGAGGATGGAATACCGCAAAGTAGTTCTCAACCAAATCCCGGACATACTTCAGCTCGGGCAAGCGATCCGATTGAAGCCTTGAAAGGTCATAAATGTGATTTCAAGTGATTATTCAGTGGGTACATACCATGATAAGGATTCAAGAACGGCTGGTGTAATTGCCACCGGATTGGGCACTGGGACCCTTGACTCATCTGTCGAACCAATCTCCGCTGGCGCCTGATCTGGATAAAAGCAACTTAGGCTTCTTCTTTCACAACGCCCGCATACTGGCCGTGACCCCGAGCATCGTGTCTTCGAGCGACGACATTCTTCGCACGACTGCAAAACCCTCCTTCTCTTGATACCTGCCTTGGTGAGATCCGGCGAGGATTGGATTGGTCCCGATTCGGGAAGTTCATGGACACCATACCCCGGGCAGTCCAGCCGCAGACGCTCACAATTGGCGCAGCCACCGGTTCGTTCATCGCACTTTACTTTTCTTCGTCGACAAATCATACATCCTGCGTCAGGGTTTCGTTAATCGGGGGGTGGGAGAAAAGGGAACGTCTGCATACCCGAGCGCGTTCTTCGCAGCTTGTCGGGTCGGTGGGGAGATGCCGAAACCGTGATGGTATGTCTTTCGTTCCCCACGTGGTCGCTTGTTGTATACATTGATGTCGTGCTTGACGGTTGGTGGAGTTGAATTGTCGGAAAGGGGCGAAGGAAGCGAAGGATATCGGAAATCGCTCTCTGAAAAATGGACTGGTTAAAAGTGGGGCGGAGAAAAACTAAATCCACGCAGAGGCGGTGTAACCAATTATTCGATGCCTTTGAGTGTCGGATGTCGCTTATCCCACGCCATTACGAAGCGATGACCATCACCCCCCCCCCCCCCCCGGACCTATACAGTTTCCATACAAATCAAGAGATTTCCCTGCAACTTACGAGGCAGCAGAGCCATGCCTCGCAGAATCCTAGCATTCTCGTCCTTCCGTCTGTCCCTCAAGCCTATTGACACAAGAAGCTTCGATGCGGGATGGATTCTCCCCGCTACCGAATCAATAATGTCTACTTCGCCGCAACAATGTGCACAATGGGTGGATTACTGCAAGGTTTCGACGTTTCTAGTCTATCAGCAATCATTGGGACTGATCAGGTACTTGGAATCTTTTTATTTTCTGCGTCGGGACCAGTACTTATTGGTTTTGTCCAGTACAAGATTTACTTCAACAACCCATCATCTGTAAAACAGGGTGGCATAACTGCGTCCATGGCCGGGGGTTCCCTCCTCGGGGCGTTGTTCTCTTCATGGACTGGTGATCGCTACGGACGTCGCGACTCCCTCTTCGTCGCCTGCTGCATCTGGATCGTTGGGTCGGCACTGATGTGCGCTGTGCAGAATACGGCCATGCTGATCGTCTCCCGCATCATTAACGGCTTCGCTGTGGGCATGCTCACCTCTCAAGGCCCGATCCTCATCGCCGAATTGAGCACCCCTCAGATTCGTGGCCGTCTCCTCTCACTGCAGCAATGGATGATCACCTGGGGGATCCTCATCATGTATTTTGTCAGCTTTGGCACATCATATATCAATTCAACCGCGTCGTTCCGCCTTCCTTGGGGCCTGCAAATGATACCGGGAATCGTTCTTATGATCTTCGTCCCCTTTCTCCCCCGTTCGCCACGCTGGCTCGCGAGTAAAGATCGCTGGGATGAAGCCATCGACATTCTGGCCGCCCTGCACGCTCGAGGGGATAGGCACTCTCCCCTGGTCTTAACTGAGGTCCGAGAAATCAAAGAGAAGATCGAGATCGAGCGTCAATCCAGGACAATGTCATGGGCAGAGCTGTTTACCCGGAAAAACATCATCCGCGTGCATTGCGCCATCTTTGCACACATCTGGTCACAGTACTCTGGAACTAACGCCATGATGTACTACATTGTCTACATCTTCCAGATGGCTGGGCTGAGTGGAAACTTCACCTTGATTGCTGCAAGCATCCAATATGTCATCAACGTGGTGATGACGGTGGCCGAGACGGAAGGTGATGATGATCGGAAGTGTGGTAATGGCCTTTTGGTTGTTCACCGAAGCTGGACTGATGGGTGGTTACGGTCACGACGTCCCTGAAGGACTCAACGGTGTAAAGACTGTAACTTGGGTTGTCAATGATGATTCAGCTAGCAAGGCGATCATTGCTTGCAGCTATCTCTTCATTGCGACGTTTGCTGTGTCCTGGGGGTAAGTTTGCTCCGGCTTGCAACAGTTGGAAAGAAACAGCAAGGCTCACTGACATCCTCGACAGTCCTGCTGGCTGGATATATCCTGCTGAAATCATTCCGCTGTACATCCGTAGCAAAACCGTGTCGTTGGCGACCTTATTCAATTGGGCCATGAACTTCTCGTTGACTTTCTGGACACCGCCCGGCTTTCAGCACATTCAATGGAAGGTACATCTGCGACTCATACAACGACTTCCATCAACTATCGTCCAAACGCTAACTGTGGAATAACCCAGGTACACATCATTTTCGGCACACTCTGTGTGTGTGCTTTCATCCACGTATTTCTCCTCTTTCAGGAGTCCTGTGGTAAGAGTCTGGAACAAATGGACGATGTCTTCAACAACGAAAGCGTTTGGGCGTTCAGAGTAAAGTATAACAGAGCAGAGTTCAGAGAAGCAATTGAGAGGACAACTGATGAGGTGAAAGAAGATTCCAAGGTCCATGTTGAAATTGAGGAGCATCGTGTGTAGTGGCATTCCCCGCCGGAAGATAAGATTCTCATCGGACTGTGGTCAAAATGAGTATGAATTAAACTTTGGTCGAGGCTGGAAACCTTGTCGTTGTGGGGTTTTCGAGCGGTAGATGCAAGCGAGAATTGCTTAAAGTTTCTAACCAATTAGAGCAAACCATTTGTGGAGTCACGTGGTTGTTTTGTGTCACGTGACTGTGGAGTAAACTGGGGCAAAGTCACATGGTGGTATTGTTCAAGTTGATTGTCTCCACATCTCCGGACCGTCGCTCTTGGCGTCGCATTACGCAACTGCGCCACAAAACTGTGGCGCTGAAATTCTATGATCATTGCTTTAGGTAACACCCGTCTCTCTACCTCGCTGTCGCCTTAGAGCTTCTGTGAAGTAGTCACCACAAAGCTCGCATAAAGCTTATCTACACCTGATTGTTACCACTTAAACACTGTCTCTTTCGACTTTTTTGTACCCGCCCTCCACCGTTCAGGCGGTGTTCCGATCTACTAGCTACGCGATCTAGTTCTCGATCGCGTCGTCGATGGATCTAGTAGATCCGGATGTCATATCCGTCGCCGATCAGTGGCGGTGGGTGTGTGAATATCTTCAGCAGTCTACCTACCTGTAGACGTCGTCGTTACATCCTATCTACCCATAGACGTCGTCGTCGCTGACCGTTGTAACTTGCAGAATGGCTAATAGTCAATCATCTCTTCCCTCGACTGTGTCAGCCAACCCCACCCCATCTTCCATTCGCTTGGTGTCGCCTCCCTCACTTAATCGCGGCCCAGAGACACTTTCCTGGAAGGGCATCGAATGGATATGGGTTGATCATGCACCAAATAAGAGGAGGTGTTGGACAATAGCATTGAACAAATGCTAGCCAATCATTTACCACAGACTGGGACATATTGCAACACTCGCTCAATAGGCTGTATCACCATTGACAGGCAGCAATGGTGACGTACGCTCGTTAGATAGATATATACATGGGCTCTATGAGGAGAGCCAGAGCACTCTTTTCAATCCACGAAGTTCAACAGGAGGGGTGTTGCCCAGTTGTCAAACTTCTCTTCATTGAGGAAAAAAAAAAAAAAGCTCTGGCTCTCCTCACGAGTGCAGGATAGAGTCCATCTATATATATATATATATCTAACGAGTGTACGTCATCATTGCTGCCTGTCGATGGTGATACAGTTTGGTGAGCGAATGTTGCATAATAACCCGGTTAGTCGTGAACGATAGGCCATCAATTGTTCAACACCAGTCCCCAATTTGGCAGTGGGGGAGTGATTATATCAATCTTGCGCTGCCGACCCACCATGCCTGGCACTGTGGATTGTGTATCAAACACTTCCTCGTCTCTTTCAAGCAGAACGCCAATTCGAACTGTAGTAGATACCGCAAGAAGAAGCTACTTATCCCGATTAGAGGCGACAGCGAGATCACAAACACCATGGGGGAAGGGACGAAATACCCAATTGGGATCCCGAATGCGCGATCGAGTAATTATCTACTGGATCTCGATCGCGTCGACGGCGGCGATCTAGTAGATCGTAACACTGGCCCCTTCTCTCCCGGTGGTCAGCTCACCGCGATACTAAGCTGATTCACCGCCACCATCACCGCTACACCTCTCTCCACCTCAACAGCGACGACGGTGCCCAATGGTGCGGAGCAACAGACATGATAGTTCTTCGGCGAGTAGGACCACCCAGCAACATCAATCTCCAGCTTCTAAAATCGACCTCGTACGCCTGAGACTTTGGGCTAAACGATTTGGGGAACTTGAACAAAACTAGTTCAAACCCATCCGGCAGACTTTCATCTCTTTGCTTTATTTTAACCCGAGCCCCAATTCTGATCCCGTTCTGTGACTGGAGCTTCTGTGGCTGAGTTCAAATTCGTACTGTACATGTAACACAATATCGAAAAGGCTTGCTCTCGCCAAAGGCTCAGAACGGTGGGAGCCAAAAAGGATAGCCACCGTTCTTGATCCTGAAGACACTCATCAAGAAACTATACATTCCAAAGAGAACAGATGCCCAGATCATGACGGCAGCTTGTTGAGTGCGAGAATCCTTGATACGCGGGACTCTGAGAGCCAAATTGATTGCGGCGAAAGCGAGGAGGGCATCTGTACGTATCAGCCCGGGCCTGGAAAGTAATCGACAGGTTAGATGGATGGGCGCAACTTACACATAGCTGCCACAATCTGAGTCTCCATGCCATATTGGTTCTGAAATCCACCGGCGAAATAGCTGATTCCACCACGGCCATTTCCTGTCACATACGGCACTCTTCGGATGTGGTTGAACATGTGTCCGCTAGTGAAGAGCAGAATCATAATCAAACTGACACCGGCCCACAAGTTGCGGTTCTGTATGATGGGCATGATATAAGGGTAGGCCACGGTCACGAACGTGAAGACGCCGAGCAGGATAGTTATCGAAGCTCCCATTCTGGCATAGTTGATCGGACGTATGACCGGGGGGTAGTCTCCGGCGGGGAGATGGCGGAGAAGCCAATTCCGGACACCGTCAGCGGTCTGAGGACCGAGGAAGTCCAGGCGCAAAGGTTGGCCATCCGGTTTCGCATTCTGGCCAACGGTCGGAGGGAAGAATAAGAGGACAGGCGCGGTTTGAAGCTGAAGCTGTGAGGGAATATCTTTAGTATTGGTTTCATCGACTTGGCGGGAATGATGGGAGACAAACCTTCATGAAGACATTTCTGCCTTGGTCGAAATCAATCGTGGTCAGAAGCACTCGGTGATCGCCATTTCGGTCTCCTGTTTGCCAGCTGCGGCCTAGAATGGACCACTCTGAGTCGAAGTCTCGGCAAATCCCACATGCGTATCGTGCGTGGCGGGCCGTGAGGAGGACAGCCAGTGAGTAGTCTCGCGGTGCGGTGGTCAATTCATTGTAAGACTTCTCGTCGAGTTCCAGGGGTGCCGAGGCCTCTTGTTGGGCGAAGTAGGTGTCGAATTTGTTAGTCGTGGCCTTTTTGGCGGTGACCACTGCGGTCCAGGACAGCGCCGTCAGCGTTAGAAACTTGAGGAATCGCATTGCTAGTCTGTGGAGTTGAACGTAAGTCGGGAAACGAAGGATGAGTTTGTCGACAATTTCAAAAGTCGGAGATGCAGATGCAGCCGTGGCTTCAATCTGAGACTTCGAGCATCAGGTCTTGGCGCATAGTCTTATGTCCGTAAACGCCGGATTTGATATGGCCTCCATTTTTACCTAGCACTTCCTCTGGAGCTACTCTTCTTAGTTCTGCAATACTTTGACATGATGTTGCTTGGTTTCAAATGTATATTGTGGGGCATGATGCCATCAGTTGGCCGAATTACGCTTGTCCCTCCACGATACCACCATTTATGGATTCAGTCTTCGAGTCCCATTCTATCCTGCCTTTCCTGAGTCAACAAACTACAACAATTGGGACGGACAAGAGGAATGCAAAAGTCATGTTCGTATTACATCCGGATTGGTCGACGATTGCCGACGTAGTGAACGGTCCTACAAGCTCCAGAAAAGAAACAGTCTCGGTCGAGGGATGAGATCTGAGATAAACGTGTACGGAAGCTAGTACCACTAATGAACCAACAGTCCGAAATACGACGAATATACCCAGATTTCGCTCACGTTCTTGAACCCAACACTGTCTGCCCAAATGGCAATGAATCCCCAGATGTAGAGGATGATGATGCAAACGACACTGAACAGAAGGATGGTCTTGGTATGCAGCTTGAACATCTTCTGTACGAGCCATATGAATTGCATGCCTGTGTCCTGTGATCCGAAAGCGAGGATGGTCTGATAATTGAGTATGATGATGTCGTACGACACCACCGAGTTCTGCAGAGTTGCTATCACAGTGATGGCGGTGGAGAGTGAAGAATGCAATTAGATATAAAAGTATCTGTTTCCGCTTTCGAACCTCCTTCAGCGCCAGCTATATATATTCTTGAAGCCGATGGTGAAATATGAAGTGCAGACCGGGACGACGTTACCCCGCAATGAACCAGGGCATGGCCAAAACAAATGCGAATACCTGTTGTGGAGGCGATGATATTGATTGCGTTTGTGTGGAAGAGTGGGGACCGGCATTGACTGAGATGAGAGTCCCAGCACCAATGGCAAGCTGGACATGTTCTTCCGACTTCTGTTCATCCTTCAAGGACCTCACTAAGCCAAATCTCGTCGTATGCTGGTTGGTATATTGATGCGCATTATGAGACGGTCATAACCGATGGTAGGCTGGGGAGCCATTCATTGGGGATCAGCTGTATGGTGTGAACTTGGAAGATGTTCTGTGGTTTTGAACATGGCAACCGTCAGCTAGTCGTTATCATGATGTCGAAAAATAAGATAAATTGGGAAGGAATAGGTCCCCAAGTAGGTTGTTACCATTATTGACTGTTCTTTTGGTCTCTGCATCGCCAATGTGACAAAATTCTAGTGTTGAGCTTGAACTTGTCAGAGATTGTAACATACTATATCTGATAATAGTTCCATGTATCGTGCCGTACCCTCGTTCCTAGTCCTCGTTATTTGTTTTGCTCATCAACAAATGCAAGACATAACTCGCCGGCAAGTCTCCTGGATCAACGCTGTGACCATTGACCATTGGTACAGTTTGGCAGAACGTGATAGCCTAGCTGAGATCACACGCATACTGCGGTGGGAAGACATCATATCATGGACGGAAAGATCAACATGGATACTTCCGACAAAATATATCGTAGAGGCAAACGACGAAGATATCTTCCAGTCAATAGATACGACAGGTCTTTGAACATATATATATAAGTTCGAAGGTCATCATTCAACACCGGTACCAGAAACCGTTGCATTGAAAGTGATCACACTGCGACGACAATTCACCCAGGGCAATGTCAAACAAGGGATTCAGAAACGCACACGTTTGTTTGGCTGGGTTTTGGAAAGGCAGGAATCCAGTTATGCTGATGACGGTAGCTAGTCCAATATCGACTCCGACGTCATGCTGCTGACGTGGACTTTATTCACCACCCTTGGTTTCTGGTGCAGCGATGCCTTGAACGTCAGGTTGGGACGGGAAGCGAGTTCCATTTTTCAGGCCGGTTTGACATGGAGGGAGGAAATCTACCACCGTAAATTCGTCGATAGCTCCGAAACAGCATTCCACTGACTCGACTCAGCTTTGATCCGAGCTATGGCGGATACAATTTCGTTAGTGCTGAATGGTCATATCGGCACGACTTCTCATGTCCCATTTCCGATAACCATTCGATCTCCCTTGGGATTCTTCTCTCAATTTGCTGTGGTGACCCATGTAATCACAGCTCTGTTCTGGCATGGTAAGAATCGACTCCTCATCATTGATGAGATATGATGTGTTGATATCTTCGTTCGCAATTCGGACATGGACAGGAAGGACGGCTACGTTCTGGGTCATTCGTGCGACTTTGACCGTCGTTTTTGGATATCCCAAACGATTTTGCCGGCCGATGGTGGAATTACAACCAACCAAATGATAGCTCATCCTCGTGTTTTGGTCGATACAGTTCCCAATCATGCTCATCCCCCCTGCACAAGCTTAAATGGGTTTTCAACACTTTCGATTTTTATCATTCTCACTCTCGGTATGGCTATGGTCATCGCCATGACACAACAAATGGGAGGGGCTGAGAATATCTGGAACCAGGAATATACAACTTCAGGCTCGGCAGGATCATGGACCATCATGAATGGATCTCGAGCATGTGTGATGGATGGTAAGAACTTTCCTCTCTTTGAGTCGAGTTTCACATCCTAACCCACGTGGTATATAAAATATACCTGGGGCACATACTACCAGGCCTATTTCTTCCTGTCGTCAGCCTTTTGATAGCAACATGGGGCATGGTTGCTATCAGCTGCGGCAATATAAACCTCTCCACATATTTGACTTTGCTATTTGCATTATTGGCCTGGGTCTCATGACATTAGTGGATTGTGACACAAGTCGTGCTGAATGGGGCAATATACCAGATTATTGCCAGGGGAGTTCCGGGTTCGTCCTCAACACTCCTGCCAGTATGTCAGGCTGGGCCCCCAGAGAGCGATCAAGCACCCATTACCGCGGCGTGGTAGTTCGTTCGATCTTTTGGCGCGATTTGGGGCGTCGTCATTCCTGCCCGTCATCTTCAATAGCCATTTCGACCAACTCTCTGACCGCACTGCCGATCCGACCTTGCGAGTGACGCTCTCTTATGGATGCACTGACCAGTATGCTTCCAGCCACAGGCCAGCTGGTCAACGTGTTTTGGATGCTCTGAAACATGTCTGGCGAAATTCCATTGTTTTCTCCAGAGTGAGCTCCTTGCTGGTGTTTTGTTGAAAAGTCAATTAGACTACAGACGGGGCTGGAGACTGAATTCGGAATGGAGGATAAAGAAAATTGGACGACGAAGCAGAAAAGTTCGGGTTCTGACCTGAAAACTTCAGAGGGAGACGTAGGACCTACCGTATGAGCACCGTAATCTCAATCAGACGTCACCCCTTTCTAAATTCACCACACTTGATGGGCCGTAGTTATTCCTTCCTTTCCCGCTGATAATGTCTCTTCATACCATGCCGGCAAATTGGGCTCGAGAAACTCATAGAAGACGAACTTCGAAAGAGCCTCCCGTGCATCATTCCACTGTGTGATTTTCAATTCCCTTGCCTGTCGCGCAAACATTTCCGTAAACCACGTCTTTTCCGGCTTGAGGCCTTGGTCCAACGACCTTTTGTTGATGCGCCACTCGAAGCGTGCCCCGTAGAAGAAGATCCACAGTATCGCAGCGCCGTACTGCGCTAGATCTTCGGGGCTCGCAAGTTTCAGCATTGTCCGCATCGTGCCTTCGAGATGGGTGATCGTGGTGACGTGATAGCGGATCCGATGGTCTCCGCCGTAGATGGTGGCTTCGAAGACACCTCTTCTGAGGACATGCAAGGTCGTAAGAGCGATCGAGGCTTCCATGTGGCGAAATGCTGCTTTCATCTGGTATACCTTGCCTGCGACCAGGTTGATGTAGACATTGATCAGGACGCCCGAGTCATAGAGCGAGTCTTGCGTGAAGACGGTGAAGACTGCGTCAGTACGGTCCAGGTCTTGGGGGTCGTTCAAGTTGACGAGGGTCTGGCGCGTTAGCAGGTACCGGCGTAATCGGATACAGGCGTCACGGGTGGCGGGAAGCTGAATACAGGGATGCAGATCCCTGTATTCTTCAGAGACAAGAGGCATGTTTGTTTCCGCCTTGTCCACCCACAGCTTGTTCAGTTGCTGGCGGACCCATCCTTCAAAGTCAAAGATGGTGTTGCGCATATGTGAGACGGCAACTTCGGTGTCGTTGTTCATCACCGTGGTGAACAGCACTTGGATGTGTCGGTCCGGCTGTTCCACTCGATCGATCAGGTGGCGGATAATCTCGGCGTGGATCTTCGCAGAGGCGATGTCATTTTCTTTGCATGATGCCCGAAATAGCGACACGATTTGTGAGACTAGACTGATATTGGGCTGAGCCTCGGTCGACAGATTCGCGATCCGGTCTTTCAAAATCCTCAAGCTCTGGGCTCGCATCTTGATGGCCATCAGGTTCAAGTCACGGGCTGTATCTTCGGGAGAATACTTGGCCAGCACCGGGATGTAGCTGGAAACCCATGCCAAAGCACGCCCTTCATCTGACAATTCCTCTTTCATCGATTCCCACACCCTCGCTGCCGTGCGTCGGCCCGTAACGTGAAAACCTTCAGCGATCGTTGTACACATGGGGGCGCCACGGACTGGCTCTTTGATTTTCATGAAGGACGTGATATAAACACCGGGGAGGTAGGCATCTCTGATGAATGTGATGAGCTGATTGACTCGAGGAGAGATCGGAAGAGCCTGCGCGTTGAAAGGATCTGAGTGACCACCCGGTAAAATGTCGAGTAGTGTTTGACTTGTGATTTTGGGCTGTCGTCGCCGGAGAAGATTGAGAGGGTAGTCTTCATCCGGCTGATTTTCGGGAGGATAAGGCAAGAAAGCTGTGTGGCATTGTTAGTTACGAGGGCTTGGGGATCCAACCAAAGAGGTTCTCGGGACTAGATACCGGGATGTCGACCAGATGCCGGGGTTTCTTGTTTCTGTTTGCGCTTTTGGTGAGCAACTTTGGCGGCGTGGGATTTTTGCTTAGCAATTTCTAATTCTCTGTTCCTTTTGGTCGCGTCGGGACTGAATTGAGGTACAAACATCAGCTCTGTATACTTGCTGGAGGCCATGGTCTCGATAGGATAAGAAGAACCATAGTGCATCGGCTCATAGAGAACCGCGTGGTGCAACACGAACGGGAAGATTAAAAAATGAGTCTCCCTCTATCAGCGAGTGCAAGAGATCATAGGCCACGGGTGGGAGAACCACAATCACGGCCAGCAGGGGCTGGTTTGCTGAGATAGTACTGCAGCGATTCATATAAAAATCCCCCAGTTGACAGAGAGCGCGTCGTTCAGAACGATAGCAGTCGAGGGTCCCCATTACTTAATGGTAGCACCAAGTTAGTGGCAGTACGGATGTTTCATGGAATGCCTCCATCGTGCATTCACTTCTTTTTACCTGGCAGTCTGATATGCATCGCGCACGGGAAAATTACCTCCATAGGTTTTCCGGTCATTTCTGTCAGCACTGTGATGCATTACGTGGCCCTTAAACTCGGAATTCGGGGATGGCCAGCCTCCAGCGGGAGAGAACCCCATTGGGCAAAGTGCCGTGGGAGAGGTCCCTATTGGCATAGAAGTCGTGGGGCTTGCACTTTCGAAGAGTATATTTCCGTGGATAAGCCTGTTTAAGATAAAGCCTCCCTTGCTTTCTCAATAAACGCCACAAATTTCCAGAAATAGTGTCGTGCCACAATTAGCGTCGCCGACATTGAATAGGCATATGGATGGCCAGATAGCTGTCGATTTGACCAGGTTCGGTCCCACGGCCGAACTCACCAGGACGGAACAAGTCGTATTTCCCGATGCAAAAGGGGATCTTTTTCTTTCAATTCGGAAACATCGGCGTGGCTTATGGTGTTCCAATGAGTCGTGATCATATCATTGGATAATGCTGGAGACTCATTCATACTGTTTTCTTGGTGGGCTAAGAACACCGTTGTTTTGTTGAAGGCATGGGAGAAAAATTGCAATCTTGACGAGGCTGTTTGGCTTTGTTAGTCTTGGATCGGTCTACCCTGGTCCGGCGAGAAACCGTCTTCGAGCTTCGAGATATCCACTTTGGTAGTGATTCGTACAAAGTGCTCCAGAGATGACTTAGTGTCCGACAGAGACATTGGTAGCGTTTACCACGGTGAAGTGTTTGTGATGGACAGATTTTACTGACTCCTGTATGGAGTCTGGAATCGGCAGAGCTCCGTGTCAGGTCACATCCCAGACCCAGGCAACGGGAAGCTTAGGAACTTGGATAAGGAGTAGCTCGGCCCCACGCTGAATAAGCGGTTTGTGATGAGTAAAGGAAGCGGTAATTCGGCTAAATGAGCCTCGTATATGGAGGAAGACCTGAGGTTGAAAGCAGGGTTATCGTGCCCGCGGGTTGCCAGTTCTTCCGGAGACTGAATCGAGGGCAAATGTGTAGAACTATATCCTGTTTGAACGAGGAGGCACCGGCATGTCTCTTCGCCTGATTTTCTCGACGCCGTCTCGCGCTTGACATCTCGTGACTGGTTTGTTTCCATGCTAGCGGATCAGAGAGTTGCCATTTCCCTGTTAAGGTCTATTGACCTGCGCGAGATGAACTATCCCGGAAAGATGGCCGAAACATGGAGCTAAGAAAGTCTCTCTCGGGATATCTTTGGAAGGTAGGACCTGCAAGTCCCTTGAAGCTGCTCAGGTGATGGTCTCGAGATATTAGAAGTTCGAATTTCTTTCTTTGACTTTCACGGTCTTCTTCCACGGCATCTGCGAATTCACCGCCGATGTAGAGCGCATTCCTTTCGTTGGCCACGCACACAATCCAAGGGGCCCCCCGGACCAGGCTGACGCCTCTGAACAATGCCGATTCCGACATTCCCCTGTTGCAAATGTCGGAACCGCTCACTATTGCTTGTTCAATGATGAAGGAGCTGGAGAGCATTTCACGGAAATCGTGGGCCTGACCTCCATAGATTCAGGCCGCCCATGAAAAGGTGGCAGCCCGCCATTCTTTCAGCTGAGGCCCTCCACCTTTTCTGCGGCTGTTGGTCAACATATGACGTTTCCAAAGAGCGTTGGGAATGATAAAAAGGTCGAATAAAATGCGCTTCCGGCATCTATGTTGTCCAATTAGTGAATAATCCGACCTAGGTTGAATCGACCCTGGCCTATCCTCCGGTCGAAGTAAATTCGTGGATACGACAAGTATAAAACTGTGTTCGTTATTGATATTAGTTCCTTTTTCGATCCATTTCCCAAGGGAGAAGACTTGAATATTCCCGTCGAATACCGCTATGGCTTCTCTCCAAACTCTACCGCTGATAATTGACAATGAGCCGGTCCACCCGGCAGACGCCCCAATCGTCACAAATTATTCGAATAACACAAAGTCGGACTACATCAAATATGTCAGCGCGAGTGCAAAAGATGCCATCGCAGCAGCCGAATCTTCTCAAGTTGCCTTTCGGTCGTGGTCTCAATCTCTCCCTCGAGTTCGACGTGAGATTCTGCAAAAGACTGCCGCTTTGATCCGTGAGAATGCTGGCGAATTAATCAGAACTCAAATGGAGGAGACGAATTGTTCTGAGTTCTGGGCCAAGTTCAACACGCACATGGCCGTTTTGCACTTGGAGGAAATGAGTGGCAGAATCACTTCGGTATTGACAGGGGATATTCCTGTTGTTCAGACACCCGGCATGATGGGGTTCGTGTACAAACGGCCCGTTGGCCCAGTCTTGAGCATTCCGCCGTGAGTTGTTTTCCACACCGCCTCCTGATGGATTTGGAATCCTCGACCGCTTACTTTCCCCCGCAGATGGAACGCGTCCGTATTTCTTGCCTGTCGAGCGATTGACACTCCCCTTGCGGTTGGGTGTACGGTGTTGCTCAAAGTTTCTGAACAGTCGCCGCACACCCAACATTTCCTGGTCCAGCTCTTTCACCGCGCTGGCTTGCCTCCCGGTGTGCTCAACGTCATCCAAACTCGGCGTGAAGATGCTGCAACCGTGTCCGAGGCGTTGATATCTCACCGGCATATTCGAAAAATCGAGTTTATCGGATCCGCCGCGGTGGGAAGTCGGATTGGGGCGTTGGCTGGTAAGTATCTGAAGCCCGTTTTGATGGAGCTCGGCGGCAAAGCGGCAGCTCTCGTCCTTGATGACGCGGACTTGGAGCTTGCAGCGCAGGGCTGCATTCACGGCGGCTACATTCACCATGGCCAGGTGTGTTTTTCCACCGAACGAATTGTGGTAGATGCTGCTGTTGTGGACAAATTCATTCCAATCCTCAAGAACGTTGCGGCCAATTTTCCCGTCTCCGGAGCCGTCTCCTCCACCGGATCTGACAATTCTCTTCGACTATTGAACGATGCGGTCGGCAAAGGAGCCAAGATCATTTATGGCAACGCCCAACTTCTCGAGCCAGGCAAATTACAACCCGTTGTTATCAGTGGGCTGACGCCTGAAATGGAGATTTACGACAACGAGTCTTTCGGACCAGTGGTCGCAGTGTACACCGTGAAATCAGATGAGGAAGCGATCGAACTGGCGAATAGTTCAAAATATGGATTGAGTGCTGCAGTTTATAGCAAGGATGTTGTTCGTGCCCTCAAGGTCGCCAGTCGGATCGAAGTTGGTCAAACCCACATCAATTTCCCTCTCGGTACGGGAACGGATGAAGGTGAGTCTCCTTCCATTCTCGTATTCCTGGTACAGTTGAATGCTAACAACATTAGCAACTCTTGCGATTGGAGTGAGTAAAGCTAGTGGATGGGGAAGACAGAATGGAAATTACGGGTTGGATGAGTTTCTCGAATTGAGGACTGTCACCGTCACCAGTCCGGCCGAATTTGCCGCTGGTATGGCGAACATGGAAGCGTAATACAGTGCAACGTCAATCGATGGTGGTCTAGCCGTCCGGTGAAGTTTCCCGTTAATCAAACGAGTCCTGGCCTTATCTTTCGGGCTGCTTTTATTATATCTAAGACTAGCGTGCCAAGGCCTTAGACTCTCAATCTTAGAGTGCCATTCCATTTTCGGCAAATTGTTGACGATCGGAAAACAAAGTCGAAACATCCAAGTTGTAACCCCCCAACCCTCACGAGTCACCCGCCTTGTTTTCGCAGTTCACATACAATAGCTTCGTCAACCTCAATCTGCACGTAGCGTTCCCAATGGAAGCAGAGCTATCCTACATGTCGTACGCGGAGATTGCCCAATCGGTCAAATCCACCCAGCTCGAACTCGCGTATGAGCGCTCGTTACGTGAAGCAGAACGAATCTACGAAGAAGAGCGTGTACGTGCATTAAATGTGCAACTGCTTCTGTTCGAGGACGAAAATGATAGCCTTCAAGAACACGCGGCCCAGAACGAAGACCACCAAGCCTCTCTGGAGGAGACAAATGAAGAGCTGCGGGTACATGTTTCTGAGGTCGAGGCCGAATTGCGGCAGACACAAATGGACTTGAGAGCTCGTCAACGCGATTTGGATCACCTGAAGGCAGAAGTCCATGCCTTGAATGCCGCAAGCGCCGATGCTACTAAAATCCTGTCGGAAAAATTGGCATTGGCGCGGGAGCTGAATACACTCAAGCCTGAACTGGAACACCTGAAATCACAAACATGCACCCACCAAAAACTGCTTTCTGAGAAGCTGGCGTTGCAGCGAGAATTGAGTTCAATTCAAGTCGAACTTGAGACCGAGAAAAGAACGGTCCAGCGTATCAAGACACAAGAGAAGGCTTCGGCGCGTGAAGAGTCCGCTTTGACCACCGAGATCGAGGAACTGAAGAAAGAGCTTGCTAAATCACACCGCGAGGCGCAAAAGAGCGACCGTGAGAACCGAAAGAGGGCGGCGGAGTGGGAAGCCGAGAAAGAAGTTCTTGAAGGAAAGCTTGATGCATTCCGCAACAAATTGCGTTCGACAAAGGATCAGCTGACGGAAGCTCACGAGGAAATCGAGAAACTGCAGGCCTCCCAGATGGCTCAATCAGCCGAGATGACCAAGGCCAGACTCAGTGGCGCTACTGTAGCTAATTCCAAGAAAAGGAATGTGGCCAGGTTCGACCCGGATATGACTATTGGTACCCCCGGACAGCGTGGACCTGTGGCGAAGAAACAGCGCGTCTCGGTCAATGTGGGGGATAAGTCAACCTTTTCCATCACACCATTCTTGAACCGCACCCTCAGCATATTGCCGGAATCCCCCGGGGGGGAAGAGGTCGAGCCCCAGAAGAAAGTCGTGAAGAAGGGAAAACAGCAGCGCGATGAGGCTGTGGGGGATGCCGATGCCGATGCAGCAGCCGCGCCAAAAGTCAAAGCAATTAAATCCAAGTTGGAGAAGCCTTCCATCGCAAAGAAATCAACGGCCGTGGCGACCAAGACGAAGACCTCTCAGCCTCTCAAGGAAAGTACACCCTCAAAAGCAAACACAGTCGTCACGAAACCACCACTTTCTAAACTGGTGGAAGAAGGCTCCAATATGGAAAGTGACCGAGATGATGCAGGCGCCCATGTGAACGAGAATGATGACAAGGAAACCACAGGACAGACGGAAAATACTGAAACCGCGAATCAGGACACAACCGAACCAGCAAAGCGGACAAGTATCTTTGACGATGCCCCCGCGTCGAAGGTTAGGGGTCTGGGACGTGGCGCAGCCAGCGTGATGGGACGTATCAACTTGAAGGCAAAGCCCGTTGGCAAAGGGAAACCGTTGACGGAGTTTTCACCTCTTAAGAAGGACCGGAGGACTGCAAGTATTCTTGAATAATGTTCAAATCATTGGATTAGCGGCGTTTATGACGGGATCATTGCACGTATGGTCATTTGGATTCGGATTCGAGCTGGAGCATTCAACAATGCACACTTGTCTTCTGGTAGACGTACTAAAATAGGTGCACAGAACAGAAATTGATGATGTGGAAACAGATGTCGATAACAGCAATATCGTCGACCAAGGATTCTCTAAGAGCGGCACCACATATATGACATTATAGGTAAAAATCCCTCGTGCCGCTTTGTTCCTCTGAGGGACTTGCTTCAATTTTGCTACCGCAGCTTGCACACCAGTTCTTCAGCTCTCTCTCTTCTCCTCTTGCAACCTGTTCCCCGGACTCACACTGGACAAGGGCTATGCAGCCATGTAGCCCACGACAGGCACTTCGCTGGTCAGCCAGTGCAATCTTCCTCCACCAACAGCAGCGCCACTTGTACATCTACGCCGGCGTCTTTCCGCAACGATGTCTCCTCTCAATAAGCTCTGCATGGTCGCTTGCAGGTCGTATCTCATCGGGTCTCACGTCAACATCACCATCTTTGAGCTCAGCGGTCGCGAAGGGGCTGCGCCGGGCCTCCTCCAGGCGCTGGACTGATCGCCAGCGTGGAGACCAGTTTGCACGAGCCGCCAAGGTGCAGGGCCTCAAGAGTCGTGCGGCATTCAAACTCTTGCAGATCAATGAGCGGTATCGGTTGCTCAAACCCGGAATGACGGTCGTGGATCTAGGGTTTGCGCCGGGAAGCTGGAGTCAGGTACGCAGAATTGCCATCTTCTCATGGATTCCGGATTTACTCGATTATCAGGCAATGGAAAAGAGGAGCATGTATTGTTTCCCCATACTGATACAAGAATCCCCCGTAGGTAGCCTTTGACATGACCAAGCCCCGCGGCCGCGTCCTCGGTATCGATTTACTCCCCGTACAACCACCCAAAGGCGTGTCGACGATCCAGGGCGACTTCCTCTCACCAGATGTGCAAGCCGAGATCAAATCCTTCCTCCGTGACCCCGACCGTGGCCGTTTGCGGCGTCCACTCATGTTCGGCATTCCAGAAACCTCTGACGGGCATCTCGACAAGGAATTATTGGATGACGCCGCGGCAGGGTACTTGGAAAGAGAAAGATTCGAGACGGCGACGATGATGGCCGAAGAAAGTGAAGAGCAGCGCGAGGATGAGAATGATCATCTCGACAAATCGGTCGATGTTGTGCTCAGCGATATGTCTGAACCCTGGGACCCGCTTGATGGGCTATACAGGAAGAGCATCAGTAACCCGTATCATAGGTTAATGAACACGAGTGGGAACGCTTTTCGAGATCATGCCGGTAGTATGGTACGTCCCGCGTCCCGTACTGTGTTTGGCCTGGGCCACATTTTCCGTCGAGGCTGACAGTTCATTATTACCGTAGGATCTCTGCCGAGCCGCCCTCCGATTCAGCTACGACACACTCAAAATCGGCGGACATTTCGTCTGCAAATTCTACCAGGGTGCCGAGGACAAGGTTCTCGAGAAGAGCTTGAAAGCCATGTTTCACAAAGTTCATCGTGAGAAACCAGACAGCTCACGACGTGAATCACGAGAGGCTTATTTCGTGGGCATCAAGCGCATGGCCAAGGTTGATAAGGACGCTGTATTTGCAGAACCCTAGCTGTTTCGGATCCGTGGTCTCGTTTCCCATCCGGGGCCTTTTCATCGTTGGAAGGCTGCTACCGTAGGCGCCCAAAGTCCACCCAAATCAAATCAGATCAACTCGCCATCTTCATCCTCCGCGGTCTCGTCTTCGCTGAACTCGATATCTGCCGCCGCAGCCTCTGCGACTCTCTGCACCTCTTTCAACCCGCTCAGCTCCTCGACGTAGTCTTTCTCATTCAACGCCTTTTGCACGAAGTCCCATTCATCTGCCTGATATGCGGTCAGCACCTTTTCGGAACAGGCACTACAGCAGTCATACGCCTTGCCCGCTATGTTGATGTTGGTGAAATTGGAGAGGAAGCCACGAATCTGGTGCGGGACCAGACCCAAGGGGTGCTCGCCACGGTATTCTGACGGAGACAGTGACGCTGGTGCCGCAGGGCCTTCGGGGTGTTGAAGGACTGAGACCAGGAGCTCAACCAGGAGCGCGGACGCGATCGCCGCGATGCCCGGTCTGGTGACGGTACATTGTTGATCGAGGGTGTGGTCTTTCATCGAGTCCGCGGGGGCCACGACATCGTTGCAGAAATAACATCCTAGCTCGGGCCGCTCTGGGTTGGAGCCGTCGAGCTTGACACCATGTCTCATCACCACGTACGTGTCGAATCCCAACGCGGCATTCATCACGATCTTCCCGGCCGCTTTGCCCATGACCGTCGGCAGCCATCTCGACTCCCGGGTATCCATTAGTAGAAATATGACATCATGCTCGTCAACCAATTCCCTCAATTTCTCGTACTCCGCCTTCGTCTTCTCTGTATCCGTAATCGGGTGTCCCGCCATAGGTACGGACACCACATGTCCCTCGGCATCGACGCCCGGATAGATACTGCGCAACGCCTCCGCGGCACAGGGGGCCTTCTTCTTCCCACCCTCCAGACAGTCGTTGAAGTTGAACAAAGGTTGACGCACCGGGTTGGAAAACGAGACAGATCCGTTGTCGACGAATGTGATCTTCCGTACGCCCCAGCCCATCAGGTTTCGCGACACATAGCTGCCCAGCGTCCCTGCGCCAAGGAGGAGGCATTTGGTGTCCTTGATCCGCTCCAGATCGAGGTTGGGACTAATGCGCCATTTCATCAGTTTCAGGTTCAGATCGACCGAGGAGTCGGCCAGTTTCTTCGGGTCCATGTATTCTGTCAGGTCGGCCATGCGGCCAGAGAGCTTGTTCGCCGCGTTGCGCTCCCAACCGACGACTTTGGGCACTTGTTTCTGCACCGCCTTAGGACCTTCAGGGCTCGGGGCCTGTGCCGCTGGTGGATTTTTCTGAGTCAGACCCGGTAGTTCCATGGTGAAAATCACACTGCGGGCGGCGTCTCTTCTCGCCGGCGTCTCGCGATAGCATAGGATCTGGACATGGTCCAGTTTCCATCTCTGCCGCACGAGAACGAGAAGGTTGCGCAGCATCCAGCCCGGTGCGACGGGACCGGGTTCGGTGTAGTTGGAGGGATCGGCGAAACAGACAAAGCGGTCGTCGGGGTCCACGCCATCGAAGAATCTGGATTCGTAGCCTGATAGAGAAGTGATGCGCCATGTGAAGCCAAGGTTCGAGGTTGGCGTGAGCGGTGACTGCGGAGATGTCGGGCCCGTCATACGGGCGGGTGGAGAATATCGCTCTTTTTTGGCGAGAAAGAAGCCATGTTGTCTGGAATCGACGCCGTATCTCCACGTCATGACACTGTCGACGAGCGACGTACTTTCGATCGAGTTTAACTTCTTATACGGCACATCGGAGGATTCGGGTGCTGAAATTGAAGCGGCCTGGCCACCGACTGCTATCCAAGGCAGATCCATAACCAGCGCGGGGAAGGCAAACCAATAGTTGAATTTATATTTTTTCAAGTCTGCAAACGACAAGACAAAAAATGAGGCGAGAAGCGAGGGACAAGAATAAACTGTCCCGTCGTTGATGGCGTCCCAGATGGTCCTGCCTGCCTGCTGAATCAGGGCCAATTTATCGATGTGGCGGTACTCTTCGATGGTGTTGACGTTCTTAATCATGCCTTCTGCGCGGTAGAAGCCGGCGGGGACTTCATTACTGGTGAGAGCGTTGGCGTGTATTTGCATGCGGCAGGAATGTTCTTTGGCGTCGGCGGGCCGGATTTCATATAGGCCCAACAGTTTCCGGGCCGAGTCGTCGAGTTTGTCATGATTGATTTTGTGAGAAGCCAGTGAGGCGTAGAAGGGTATTTCAATGTCTGACGCAAAGGGGACGTATTGCATGGCCATTGTGTTGATGCTACAGTAAGCGATATAGAGCGTGGTCGTTGATGTCAGTGTCGTGCCTTGCATGCGACTGGAATGATGAAGTAAGGCTGCATATCCAGGCGGAAGCGGAAGCGGATGGTGATCAGTCATGATGTGGCTGGAGGGGCGAGAACAAGGCTCGCGTCAATGGTACTTCGGTCATCCACCATCTGCATCATGGGTTGTCATTTGACGCGTTGATTTATCGTCAAATGACCCCACTTTACGCGTCCTCGCCCGGATTCACACGTGAATGCGTCGAGATTATTTTATATTCATCAGCATTGAGAGGGAAAATTCACTAAAATCCACAAAACCCTCGATCGAGTTGATGCAGTAATGACGGAGACTCTCGAAAACATGAGGAATATGCCAAAGTAACTCAATTCCATCCCTCTCTGATATCAAGTCTAGACCACCCACTCAGCCTTGCCCATCTCTGTCAATACATCCCACCACATCCTTCTCATATCTCACCATGCTAATCGGTATCTCTGGCTCCATCTGCGCCGGCAAACACACGACAGCCGAATACCTAGTCCAACACCACGGCTTTCTACGTCTACATCTTCCCACACCCTCACAACTTCAACCACTGTCTCATTCTCCATCTCCCACTCCATCACAATCCGCATCGGTATCAGAGACAGAAACCCTGGCCCGTCTGCTCCCCAGCGTGGCGGACCAAAAGGGTACCCGCGGCCTGACGTTTCCAGATGTCGAGAGTCTCTTGGAGTTCGTCACTCGTCGATGGCGTGAGCACTGGGTTCTCACCGACATTTACGATGAGGCTTCGCTTGAGGCGCTGCTGAGGAGACCGTTCTTTTTGCTGTTGAATGTCGACGCTCCTGTGGGCGTGCGGTATGCCCGGTTCAGTGAGCGGTATGTATTGCCTTTCCTTTTGTGTTTGATGCGGTATGGCAACGTTCGCAGGAGAATCTTGCGGGTTAAGTGGGGAAAAAAATATGTCGTCTATCTTGGATTGACAACCAGAAAACCCCTCAAGTATGAATGCCGACTGACAATCAATTCCTCGCCAAAATAGCTGTCGAAAGCGGAACCTCTCCCCCATGCCCCTGGCGGACTTCATCTATTACAACGACCTCCAACTCTACGGCTCGCGAGCATCATCCACCACACTTGACGCCCTGGATTCCCCTCCCAACACAAGTACCAAAACGACTTCCTCAACTCCGATACCGACAGCCTATACCTCGGGCACCGCTCACCTTCTCACGCGCTCGCACGTACAAATCCTCAACTTCCACCGGACGATCAATGACTATTACGCCTTTCTCTCGACACTCGACCTCCCGAGCCCGATCCGCCTCCGTCCAACATGGGACGCATATTTCATGACGCTCGCATCGTTGGCGTCGCAGCGGAGTAACTGCATGAAACGTCGTGTCGGGTGCGTGCTAGTCCACAACGCCCGCATCATTAGCACAGGCTACAATGGCACGCCACGTAACTTGGTCAACTGCAACGAGGGCGGGTGTGCGCGGTGCAACAGTGCGAGTTCCGGTGGCTCGGCGCTGTCGACCTGCCTGTGTCTGCATGCTGAGGAGAATGCACTGTTGGAAGCGGGCAGAGAACGCATTCGTGATGGCAGCGTTTTGTACTGTGATACGTGTCCGTGTTTGACCTGTAGTGTCAAGATTGCGCAGGTCGGGGTCAAGGAGGTTGTGTACAGTCAGAGTTATAATATGGATGAGGCGAGTCGGAGGGTATTGAAGGAGGCTGGCGTCGTGTTGAGGCAGTTTAGTCCGCCGAGAAGTGGGTTGGTAGGGTTCACGGCTCCCGAGACAGATGGAGAGGGGGCGGAAGAGAGAGAATTGGTTTTTTGGAATGGTCAAAAGTAGGGAACTTTTGAGGGAAAAAGAGCGTCTATGTCATTGGAGGAGAAGAGAAAGGTAATGGGCATCGACGATTATGTTAAAACGCTGAACATCAGAACCAGAGAAGCGATAGGTATCAGTGGACCTCACGACTTCTCCACGTACTTCCTGTCCTCCAATGCATTCGAAGCGGGAGCACCATGGTACGGTCCCACAGAAGCCGAAGTGGGAGACGTCGCACTTGGTGGTGGTCCATCACGCGGCGACGTCGCACTTTTCGAGCCGCTTGTTACGCCCTGTGTCTGTTCCTCAAATTTGGTGGTGATCGGAGTAATGTTGCGGCTTTCCACTGGGCTGGTGGGTAGACTACTCGAAGAGAGGGCGAAACTGGAGATAACGGAGTGCCATTGCTGAGCATCCGCGTTCGTGTGCGCTTTGAATTGAAAATCAGAAGTAATAGCCATCTTCTGTCCGATCTTGCTGCCTGATGAGTCTTTACCCTTGATAGTGAATCTCTGACCATCCACGGCGCCAATGACGCAATCCGCAAGATACAACGAGATTTCGGGTTGGGGGTCCTTGTGGAAATTGTCATTGTCTTTGTACTCATGCAAAAATCCCGCGGGGGTGACCGCGTAGTATCCAACGCTATAGCCCTTGATGGCACCAAGGCCACCGCGAGACTTGCGCTCGAGAGATCCTTCGATCAACGGCTTCGTGGAACGATGTTTGTCATTTGGGAATGACACACCGTCCATCGTCCTTGGTGAGGCATGAGGGTTGACAAGAACATGCTGATTGCGTTTGACAAAGCTGGTCCATTCAAAGTTTAATGGGATGTGACTGGCGGTGGAAGCAATATCACCGAACATGGCCTTTTGACGGTCTGCTTGGCCGCTCATAAATTGATTGTATGAATTCAATGCGGTTTGAACGGTGGTGACAATGTGAGACTCGAATTGGGCAAACGCATTCTGCACGGCAATCAAATCTTGTCGGTTGTTGTTTTCTTCCAGTACTTGCTTGTTGAGACGATGCAGGATACCTCGCTTGATCACATAAGGATCATGGCTGGCCGAGACTTTACCGCCCGTCGAATCAAAATGAGCAGCCTGTTGTCCTAATAGCTCAATATGCTTCTGCGAAGTCAAGCGTGCCTGATCCACGGCCTTGGAACCTTTGCCTGCCCCGTGTGTGATTTCTTTATTTTTGTTCTTGATCTCGGAATGCAGCCTTTCGAGGATAGGAAGGACCGATCCTGACAGATTCTTGGATGTCTCAGTGTAGAGATTGCTCTGGGCTTGAGTGTTGGCGCGCAAGTTCTCAAAGAGTCCAGTTATGCCACCTAGGGCGGTATCAAAGTGGTGTCCTTCTCGAAGAGGATTGGATAGTGTCTTCAAAACCTTCTCTTGATCTTTGGCTCTGGCAGCTTGGTCTTTGGCAACAGCAGAGATGTAGTTTTCAAGGTAACCACACATATGCTTCCAAGCTTGAAGGCGTTCCAACAATAGGCCAGAGGTGCTTGATGGATCCCCGTCAGGTATGACGTCGTCCTCGGAATCAGTGATAGTTTTGACCCTGGCGGGCAACGCGTTTGTGGCCATCGTTGTGACGTAGTCACGAGGAGGAGGAGGAAGGATGGTACTACGATACTGCCAGGATGGTTAGTTGAGACGACCCACGCGATTAAAATATGGATCAATTCATTGGGGACTGACATGATAAGGCAGCTCTCGCCACAATGAGGAGGCTCAGGAGATGTATAGACTGGGCGTGGGTGGAAAGGGGGTTGCTCCGGTCCTTGAGGTTTCTGCAATGGAATCAATGGTGTTTGCGACGGCGGAACCTAATCAATTGATGTTGGAACATAGCAAGATAGGGAAGCTTGGAGGAGGAGAAACACAATGACAGCGTTTATAGAAGCCGAAACTGAGCAACACAAGCAAGGATGAGTCTGCTAGATCCAAAGTATATTCTGGATTCTTAGTGCTTCCGGCGGTGGCTGTAGGCTGTTTAGCGGAATCATGACATGTATCTGGAACCTCTTTGAGGACGTTCATTCAGATATAGCGATCATGAGCCCGCATGTGCTCAGCCTAGTCTGTTCATCCTCAATCTCGGAACTCGTCCTCACAGGTTGTCTCCGTCCCGAAACCCATATCCTTCTAGGTGGTTTGTTTATTCTTGGGTTCATCTCGGTCTTACGTCACTGGGGATCCCCTATTTTGCGGTAAATTCCTTTTTCGGTTTGGTGCGGCATTTCGTCTTTGCTTTTATGAAGCACATATTCCGTATCTCCCATCAGGCCTTTGGCAACATATTTGGAATTCGGGGACATGCTGGTTTACGGTTGGGTTGGTTTCTGATCTTGTCTGTCAGATGTTCAATATGATGTGAATAAGTTACTAGCAAAGCCTCCTTCGCGATATATGTCTAGTCTAAGCTGCTGTCTCCTTTTCGATCAAAATTGTGTGTCGGGACTGATTCTGGAGCAGGTGTTTTCTGGAATCTTCACTCCTTCTTCTTTCGTTCTACATGCGACAATCTTTCTCCAAACAGAGCGAGGACAAGCTTCATATGCCTAGCTAGCGCTCTGGTATCGGGGGCCCGAAGAAAGGGATCGCTTCAAGAATTGAGCAACGCAGGGCATAAGCGGAAATATACTGATCTATTTCTCTATGCTATATATACGAATCGCTCTCCAACGGATCTCTGACTCAGTCCAGAACCTCTTCAAGCACAGTCAATGCCGGCAAAGGCCTTGAGCCAGCCTCGCGGTGCGTCCGGCGCAAAAAATAGCTCGCCGCTCTTCGTGCTTCTGCTGATGAGATCAATCCCTCGAGGGAACATCAATTTCTCGTACTCCGACATGGCACGATCGAGATCATCCAATCCATGCTTGACGATTTGCTGGGCTAGCTGGAGACTGTCCATCATGGCACAGTTGACACCTTCACCAACAAAGGGTGTGCTAATGAGATCGTCAGTTAGTTGCTCGCATTGGTGGTTATCGACAGGTTATGGGGTCATGTGTCTTACCTGAGATGCGCAGCATCCCCTATCAAAGTTACACCAGGAACCGTCCTCCACGACAGCGATTCAGTCGGCATGGCGTACAGCGGCCAAGCATAGAAGTCCCCTTCGCTGTGTTCGATCAGGTCTGTATGCAGCTGAGGCGAGTTTGCGAAGTAATCATTTAGTAGCCACCGACGTAGCGCCGACGGGTCCTGGAGAACAGCAGCGTTCTCTGAACTCCAATTCTCGGGAAGACGCAAGCCCACGCCGATGTAGTAGGAGCCGTCACCAAGCTTTACAACAACGATTTGCTTTCCCCCGCCAAAGGCTATATAGTTGCCCTGTCCGGCCAACGAGACCGCAGCGGAGTGGAACGGATTCTCTGGGTTGATAGTTGTCGTCAAGTAGTGCAGTCCAGAATACTGAGGTTTGGCGGATGTGACCTTCTCGCCGTTAGTCGCTCAAAGACAGATATCAGATAGGTGACTCACTAGATTTCTGGCTTTGGACCATGCACCGTCCGCCCCGACGACGAGTCGGAATCCTGATTCGATACTGCCGTCCGCGAAATGGACAGACATGGACCCATCGATATCTCTTTGCACATGTTGAACCCTCATGCCCCAGCGGATTCTGTTCGCTGGGATCGAGTTCAGGAGCAAGGTTCGTAAATCCTTGCGGTCGATTTCCGGTCTGTCTTCATTGACCTCGTCGCTTTCACCGGTCCTGATGTAAACTTTGCCCTGCGCATCGGCCAATATGGTGTGCGCGTCGCGGCGGGCAAGTTTCTTGAATTGGTCTAATAAACCGGCTTCTTGGAGAGCGAGTTGACCAGAGCCGGTATGAATGTCGAGCGAACCAGCTCGCGAAGTGGTCTCATTACCTGATAGGTCTCGCTCAAAGACCACGTAGGAGATGTTGGCGAGTTCTAGCATGCGGCCCAGTGCCAGACCACTTGGGCCGGCGCCGAGAATAGCGATGAGCGGTGCCATGGTGGAATTATTTTGGATGTGAGTTCCATTTCAAAATTATTCGTGCAGAGTGCCATCTTGTATACCAGGCCGAATATTGCACACGGTCAGCTCAATATGTTCCCTCGAAATTGAACCTGAGGTATATAGGTTCCGTAAGCTCCGACGGAGGTTATTCGGGGGTGTAAAGGGCTCTCGGAGCTTGAATACTCACTTAATAACTTCCGGGATGCTACCACCACCCCATCTCAAAACCACCAACCACCTCAGCCATGGCCGAGACCCTCGCTCCATATGCTGTAAGCTTCCGCCCATTACAGTCCATCAGAAAATATAAACTGATCACAATGGTGGCGGGAGTGCGATAAATGCCGATCCCGCAAGGTACAGGCTATCCCACCTACTTGACCGGCCGGGAGGACTGCTTTGACAAGTCTGTAGGTTGCATGCTCTCGCGGGCGTTCTGGATGCCAGCGCTGCAAAGATGAAGCCATTGCTTGCACCTATTCGCGATCGGGAGTAATTCGTCGCAACAGGAAGCGGAAACATCACACCGCTGTTGCTGATCAGCCTTCTCCGGCGATAGTCCCTCCCCATCATGCCTCTGAAGCGGCTACCAGTAGTCTGCAGTCCAACCTCGCGACTGACATAGAAGTAACTCGAGAGCGGCTGCGCGGACTCGATACGTCGCCACACGACTCTCTGGGTGCGCTGTCATCTTTGGCTGAAGCCTGTGCGGCCGTCTGGCATGACGCTTGGGAGCTTGATAAGACTTGTCACAAGTTTTTCTTGTTCGAAGATCGGGCGATCTCCTGGGTCAATGGTGAACACTATGATACGTCTATTGCAGGAGGCCGCTGACACCACTTGCAACAGCATTCGTCGCCGGTTTGAAACGAGGTCGTCCCTTGTTTAGCTCTGTGCCTCCAGAAGTGCTGGATCACTTGAGAGCATCTCGTCCGCAACAAGTGCAGGATCGAGCTTGGCTGGTCATGTATTATGGCATCATTCTCCGTATCGTTTCCTCCACTGATCCCGGGGACGAATCCACAAAAGAAAAGCTTCGATGCAATCTCTGGCTCGCGCTCAACGACGCGAGACTCCTCCTCGAGCCCAGCGAACCCAATATCCAGGCTTTGATTGTGCTCGCTGTCGATGTCGAGGAGTTCACCAAACCATCGCTTTGTTGGATGTTAGTCACAACCGCCTGTAGGATGCTGCAGGCATTGGGAGTGAGCCACCGCCGTTTCGACTCTCGGACCCAGGAGCGGCGTGTTATCATGTTTTGGCACCTGAATCTCGTGGACATAGGACTGGCTCTCATCTTTGGTAGACCTCCCACTTTCCACCGCGGAATGGCGAGAGAGATTCCTGTGCCCACGCTAGACCGGCTCTTACCTTTTCAGCCTCATCTTACCTCCGCCGGCGCACCGGCGTTATTCGGAGCGCGTAAGTCAGCTCTCGAACCAAAAAAAGACGTCAGGGGGACACCAGATGTCCATGATAATCTGAAACAACAGACCCAAACTGACTGGAGATTCAGATTACATCCACCAAATGTTTCTGCTATCGCGTGTAATGGCCGATATCTGGAGTTGCCTTCACGAGGAAACAACACCTAATGATCGCAGTATCGAATCAACTAGCGAGAATCTTGAGTCCTGGTATCGCCAGGCACAACGGGTGCGCAGCGACTCCCGGAAGGCTTGGCCACTAACAGCTGACATGCCATGCAGGTTCTCGAGGCTGCGGCGCTGGCGGAGAAACCTTTCCTTGACGCTAACAGTGCGGCTTCTATTGACCTGGGTCTATGCAGTGTAAGTTTCCAGTATGAGTATCTTTTCATCCTCCTCGCTCGATCGTCCACTCGGATGAGGGTGCAGTGTATCGAATCATCCAAACGGATGCTGCGCTTGCTCGAAAACATGGTCTCAGACTCCGAGGAACCCTATGGCGGCATCGTATGGCAACTTTTGTGCGGTCCCTTCACCCCATTCTTAGACCTGTTCGGTGAGCTCCTTTCGAATGGGAAGGGCGAGTCAAAGGAAAACAAGGAAGCTCTCGCCGCTATGGAACAACTCCCAGTCTTTCTGAATAAGATGAGTTCGCGGAATTCGCTTGCGGCAAAGCTAGGGCGTATCGCTGTGGTTTTAGTGCATCACGCCAGATCTGTGATTCGCCCTCAAGGTATGTGCGGACCTGAGCGATTCTGACCCAGATCAACTGCAACTGACTATCATTATCGTCTAGGACGTCGTACTGGCGACGAAGCGCCCGGCTCAACCCCAAAGGGAGCCTTACCTGATCACTGGCCATCAACCCCAAGCATGTTGAATTGGGACTCATTCTTCAACCATGCCATTGCGGCGCCTGTACCAGGTCAGCCACAGGTCGAGAATTACGATGCTGAGCCGAGTGACTTGACGACATGGACGAATGACTTCTTCGGGAACGCTTTTGTGGACTGGGTTGGATGGGACGATCCGGTCTGAGATCCTTAGCGGAATCTACTATCGAAGCTGTGATCATAAGCAGCCCTAAGCAAACACCACGAGCTGGCTTGCACTGACTGTTACCGTGAGCGTGAACCCTGTGAGGTCATGAAGTCGTCGGCCCTGGTGTAGGCGGTCCCATCGAATTGCGGGATAATAGGACAGCTGTGCGTCTTAGCCGAATTAACTACGCTCAACATCATGGACCTGAAAACTAACGAGCCATCACTCAAGGACCGGACTGTCAGATATGAAAATCCCCGATGAACATTTAACACAAGCTCTTTTCAGAGGGTACCTCTAACGGTTTCATTCCCATGATAACGTTGCCTAAGTCAGTTCGCTACCACGCCACGCTTCATCATTGTCAAGACTCATGGAAAGAGGAATGCTGGCCTGTTGATCCCATCAATAATAGCCTTTTCGAACTCTCGGATATTGTCCATTATGCTATCACGAATAGCCTGAGAGCCGTCCCCTCTGCGCCCAGTTTCAACATTTTGAGCGGTCAGGTCTCCAGGACCCTCCAAAATCCTTACACCAACTCCCAATTGGTAGTGACGAATTGATTGATTGGTTAATTGATTGGTTGATTGGTATCCTATGTAGCGTTTGTGGTACTTGTCGTCCAGCCACAAGGTAGACATACTCTTTTGGAAACCTTCCTGACCTAAAGTAACCTTCCCAACAACTGAATTACCATGTATACCTGAAATCGACCGCTCCTTCAATGATTTTTTGCCCCACATCAGCCTTCCGATTGGCATGAATTAGCAGGGGGCAAGTGACCAGAGTCAATGCCCCTGCCAACAAAACCAAGGCACCTGTTGCAACCAGTCCGGGAATGTAATCTGGAGCATCCTAGAGTGAAGAATTAGATGTTGCCATCTCGACCCAAAAAATAATCTCACCTGTTGCCGGAAGACCAATGCACTATAAATTCCTCCGACGGCGGCCATCATAACTTGAATAGCAGTGGTGACGCTTCTCTTTGCATCGCCTCTCACATTGTTCTGCCCCCATGCGAGGCCGGTGACAATGAGACCATTTGTTCCACATTCACCGGGAAAGGCTCCAATATAACGAGGAGTCGGAGAGCCCAAGAATCCTATCATGCAGAGGCCAACTATAGCCAACACACAATGCAAGAGGATAAATGGCCCACGAACGTGGTATCGGTCGGCAGCCCAAGAAATGCCAACCGCGTAGATTACCGCAAGTGCTGCCGGGGGAGCCGTGAGAATAAACGACAGCGCCATCGAATATTCGAGGCCATTTCGCAGGATTATAGGGAGAAAGAAAAGGAACCCATACGTCCCGCAAGAGCCGGTCATGTAAACAGTGGCTCTGAAGTGTGTCAGTCTTCAAGAATTGAGCATAGGTGGTGCCTTGAACGCACATGCTCCAAACCTGCCAATCTGATACTGTTTCTCTAATGACTTTCCAGGTGACTTTGCCAGCTTCAGTCGTACCACGCTCTTGTATGAGACGCTGTTTGACAATTTGGATCTCCTCGGGACTGAGAAATCTGTTGCGCTTTGATTCAGGAAAGTCAACAATGATGAAGAATGCCAAAATGGCTAATCCGATCGTCAGTGCTCCTTCAACGATGAAGATCCATTTCCAGCCATCTGTTTCCGGATCTGAAGCTATTTGCGTCAGGCCATATGCGAGAATATTTGAGAAGGACGAAAGGAAGGAAGCCGTCATGAAGAAAAAGGCAATCCTACGTAGAGGAGTGAGAATGAGACAACACGAAAATACTGAGATGGTGCCACACACCTCTTCTGAACTTCGTATCTCCGATACCAGCTCGAAATCAAATAAATACACCCCGGAAATAGCCCCTGACATCGTAAGTTTCGAGAAAGATCCTACATCTTAGCATTGACTTACAGCTTCGAGGATTCCCAGAAGCACGCGTAGAGCAGCCACAGTGGCCCAATTCTTGCTGAAGCCAAAGCTCAAAACAATGACCCCCCAGCTAATACCAAGGAAGGACAACCAATTTGCTGCTCCCACTTTCTTAAGGACGATGTTGCTGGGAAGTTCGAAAATCACATAGCCCACGTAGAAGACCAGGACTGCGTCATATACGTCAATTGCTGAACATGCCCTTGTTTCATTTTAAGGTGTACTTACTGATGACCGAAGCTCTATTGCCGATATCGAGATCCACCGCTCCATCAAGACCGGAAATTCGTGCGCCGCCAATGTTCGTCCGATCGATTAGTGAGAGGGTATATAGAAAGCCAAGGATGGGAATCAATCGGTGATCGATTTTTCGCCTGCGAATCAAGGTCAATGAGACAAAGAAGTAGTGTGAAGACGTTGAAATATTACTTGATTTTCTTTTCAAGCTTTTCATCAATCGGAATTTCATTCGGCAAGGTGTCGAATTTGGCTTTGGTGTCCGTGCCAGACTCTTCACGGCACTCGAGGTGCATTGAATCTGTCTTTCCAAGATGTTCCATTTCGATACAGGATGCGACTGGGTATATGCAAAATGGGCGCGAGTTGATTTCATGTAGCAGTAGGGAGGGATTGACAAAGCGTCCACTTATAGCTATATGCAGAGTCTGTTCCATCCCCAAGGAGGTCCCTCTCCGGACCCCAGGTTTTGTTCATGGCCAGGCTGGGCTTCGGTAAATTCACAATACTTGGTTGCAACGGCTTTCATATTCTCAGGGTTATGCTGTGGACTACTCCTATGCCCCCGGTCTGGGTGGGTTATCAAGAACTTCGGTTAATTTCCAATCCAGCATTCAGGTCTTCGTCTCCACTTTCGCTTAATTCCATGGTTAAATTCGGAGAGAAAAGGCAAAGCTGGTGAGGGGAAGTGTCTTTTTTCTGCTTGGAGATATACTGTGTTCATAGGTCCTAGGAAAGGTTTTCACGGGCTATTGAATTGCCGGAGATTCGTCAAATTGTGCAATCAACATTGAATTGCGAGAAACGAGCTTTAAGAGTCTCGAAAAATGCCCGGAGCCTCCATTGATTGGATAGTTCTGATTCCAGACCATGAGAACGCTTTAGAGAAACGAATGAAGGCAAGACCGTACGCGGAAGCTCTACACCGAAAGACCTACCAGGTGCTGACTATGACAGGTCGCATTTAGAAGGTCTTCAGCCTCGTATCAAGTGCGGGGCTTGGGTCATGGGCGGTAAATCCCAGGTCTCGAGTTCTGAGCTGCACGGTGATTGATTTTCTCCAAGGAGCAACCGTAAGTTCACCCCCCATTGAGGGCGAACCCAAGCAGTTCAACGGCAGCTGTCTCGTCGCGAGAGCGCAGTCCAAGGAAGAGGTCATGGAGGAGCTCCGCAAAGATGTCTATGCGAAGGAAGGTGTTTGGAATCTGGATAAAGTAGGTAGATGTTGCGTGATGGCGGAAAATAAGATGCTGACCTGACAACAGGCACAAGTCCTACCGGTGAGACGTTTGCATAGAATTCTCGTTGGAAGTATTTACTTATTTTCTTTTGCAGCTGATGACCGCGTTCCGTACAGCTTTGTAGGACTGTACAGCTAGTTCAAACACAGACACCGCATTAGTAAATCATTATCCGTCAACTAGGAAAGCTTTGTGGAGTCTGGAAGCTGTGCAAGGCTCAGGGTGCACATGATTTATGACATTTGGTGATTCTCTGGTTGTCTTGAACGAAGATACATCTCCAAAGTGGTCGGCAAGAATTCCGCGGCCCACATACTGTACATCGTCCTTATAAATTTCCGGGAGACGTGCATCACGATCAATTCTATACATCAGGCTCGACAAGGTCGGATTTCTCCCGATATGGTGGTGAATCCACCGAATGGAAAATCCTGGTGGATTCCCAGCCTCAGGCGACTGGCACATATGATCTATCGCCGGAAGAGCTACGGCGAGAAGAAGCTTCCCGGCGAGCCGTAGAGTCAATCAGGAAGTGACATGACGTGCTGTTTGACGCATACTGAAGATTCTTAGCAAACGTGGTATTCGAAGACTTCCAATGCAAATCATTTGACGGGGGACGAATACCGGTACGATTATATCGTCAGAAACAGCCGAAGGGCTCTAAACAGCTGCCAGTCTACGTCTGGTATCACGGTGGAGGATTCTTGTTCGGCAGCATATCTGGGGAAGACGGACACTGCTTCAAGATCGTCAATGCATTCCCTCTCATCGTCGTCAACGTTTGTTACGGACACACGCCAGAATTCAGATGGCCAACACATGCAGAAGACGCTGCTGCCGCTCTGAACTGGGTATTGACAACATTCATGAAATGGGTGGTGATCCAGATAAGGTCTTGATTGCCGGTCGATCGGCCGGTGGACTCCTTGCGGCAGGAGTGGTGATTCGAGATCGAGAGATTGTATGTGATATGGGAATAATCCTTGCGTTCGCAGCTGACAATACCTATTAGCACGGTCGAAACCGAGTTTGCGCTCAGATCTTGGATATTCCAATGCTATGACACTCCTCCAAGTTTCCACGAGACCTTATTGCGCCGGGAAAAACATCATACGATGAAAATCAACGCGCACCGATCCTCCCCCGCACTCGAATGGATTTATTTGAGCATTTGGTAGGAGAAGATGCCATTTCTGATCGTCTGTTTAATATTCTCTGCATGAAAGACGAGGATCTTGCCGGTTCACCTCCGACACACTTCCACATTGCGGGCCGCGATATCTTGCGTGATCATGCATTTTTACTGAAAAGCAAACTGGAAAGGGTGGGGTAGGTTTGTCCATCTACAGTTATCTTTTCGTGAAAATGCTGAACGTCTCAAGAACGAAAACATCTTTCAACGTCTATCCAGGTATGCCTCACGGATTCCGAAGATATGGTGAGTTGGAAGCAAGTATGCGGTGGGACAGAGATCATTTCAGGGCCATCGAAGATCTATTGGAGATTCAGATAACACAAGCATGGGACCTCAGGCAGGTCATCGAGGGAACACTCTTGATACTTTGTCTATTGGAAGCCTTTCCGAAGATCAAGAACGAAGACACTGGACATGCTCCTTTACAGAGTACGTAGATAATTACTAGGCTTGAAGTTGGGGTTGAAGTTGTCTCTGCAGTCTCCGCACTGCGTCGCCATGTTCTCGGCAAGTCAATTCGGCACCCCGGCTACAAGTGGAGGGCAATGCCCTATTCCATATCAAGAAGGAAGCCCGGCCTATCTCCAAACTCGGCCAGCAACGTATAGAATTTCGGTTCGCTTTTTATTTCGTCATCAACGTTTCCTAACCATTCGTTTATCTGGACTTTCTTCAACGTAAATTTATCTCCTTGAAATATCCAACATGGCCTCCAAAATCAAGCGATTCCAAGTGCCAGCCGGGGCAACAGCTCAAGTCAGTATCATCGATTCCACAACCAAAATCAACAAAATTCGTGCCGAATATCTCATGGGACCTGCCATGTCCGGACTGGAGTACATGCCCGAAATCCCCACTTGGTCCTTCCTGGTCGAGAGCGCGACGGGTCGCAAGGCACTTTACGACTTGGGCGTGCCTCCAAATTGGAAGGAATTCGCTCCCACCGTGGTCGAGACGCTGCACAAACGAGGCTGGGAGATTGAGGCCGAGATACATGTCGTGGACATTCTCAAAGAGAATAGAGTCGATCCGACGGATATCAACGCTATTGTTTGGAGGTTTGTTACTGTTATCGATTCCGAGTCTTCTCTGGTATTGATGACTAATAATGAGCGATAGTCATTGGCATTGGGACCACCTTGGGGACCCCTCTACATTCCCCCCAAATACAGAGCTCGTTGTCGGACCCGGTTTCAAGGAAGCATTCTTTCCGGGATGGCCAGCAAAGCCGGACTCGCCGGTTCGGGAAAGTGATTTCATGTAAGTGTCAATTTGTGCCACCAAAAAAAAAAAAAAAAAGGGAGAGAAGAGCTGTACTTCCATTGCTGACAAATTCGCTTCTTCAAGAGGACGCTCTGTACGAGAAGTCGAATTCGGGCAAGACTCCATCCAAATTGGGCAGTTCAAAGCAATCGATTTCTTTGGCGATGGATCATTTTACCTACTAGATACACCAGGTCACGCTATTGGTCATCTAGGAGGTCTAGCACGTACCACCTCCAACCCTGACACATTTATGTTCTTTGGTGGAGACTTGTGTCACCATGGCGGCGAAATTCGACCATCACCATATCTCCCTCTACCGAAGCAAATCGATCTCCATTTCCCAGGCCTTTCGAGAATGAGTTGTCCGGGTGCAGACCTTGAAGCGTTGCAAACATCACGTGCGCGAAAGATCGATGAACCATTCTTCGATCCGGCAATGGGTTTGTCAATTGAGGAAGCGATTCGAACCATCAAGAAGACACAGGAAGCTGATGGAGACGATGATGTGCTCTTCATCTATGCGCATGACAGCTCCGTGCGTAGAGTGGCAGACTTGTTCCCCTTGAAAGCCAATGATTGGAAAGCAAAGGGTTGGCGGGAAAAGATGTTGTGGGATTTCTTGAATGATTTTCGAGAGGCCATGTCAAGATATCCCAAATGACGATTGGAGCAGACATGGGAGCTTGAGATCATCAATTGATGTATGTGATTGTCCTTTGCTATCTCATGATATCAGTGAATCAAAATCCACGCTATCGAAAGGCTGGTCAAACAAGTCTTGAAGTTGTATGCTGAGATCATTCGCCCACTCAGTTTCCATAAATATCGACGGCGGACTGTGCGTGAGAAGCGTCATAAAAACTTGACTTGTCTCACTGCTCGTCCCGGGAAAGAAATCGAGATAATTGATGCCATCCTCGTGCGTCAAGTCCGTTAGTGCCGATACTGTAATAGAGTGTGCGGCTCCCCGTCCTGAACGATTGTTAGGGGGGAGTCCATTGAGTAACTTTTCAAATCCCACGAGGAACATCTTGGACGAATGCCAAAGTTTGGACATTTCTTTCAGGGCAAGAAACAAAACGTCAAGCTGCTCGTTCGCGCCGTCTCGTAGACATTCGACTTGACGGGCGTGAAGCAGGGCCAATGCGGCAATGCTGATGTACCAACCGGCCATTCCTGGGAGAAATCTGAGGCTGCCACGGGTCAAGTAGTCCTGAAAAATCCGAGCGACACAAGACGCGGCCAGGATCGCGGCAGTGTATGCCTTTGGCAATGGTTGAGCAGAGGTGTTCATGTAAAGGAGGGTGATTGCTGTCAAGTATGGGAGATGGAGCTGGTGAATGTGCCGGTCAAAAATCTTCGTTCGGCTTGTGAGGAATGGGAGCTGCAGGTGTACGGGAAGTTGGTGAACCCAGTCAATAAGTCTTTGGGCAAGGCTGAAAGGAAAAGGGGTTGCGTCCGTACGACGTGCCAGGTGTGTTGATACTTGTCCAATGATATCGCAAATATTTACCCAGTGGATAAAGATCTCTGCCTGAGCTGTGTGATCAGCCGGGAAATCTTCAAGGGATGGTGGATGAACGTCGCAGTCATCGGGATTTATAATACAAGGTCGACCTTGACAAATAGATGTCAGGCGTTCTCTTGCCTGGGGAACACATTAGCCTTCTAAACATTGAAATGGGGGAGGAGATTGGACTTGCAAACAATGTCCACCACACACGTCGTCTCAGACCCAAAGATTCACCTGGTTTTAACGTATGATAGTTGGTGACCTCCCTGTAAAGGCCGATCTCCTGTCCCAGACGGATTGCAATGGAAGTCCACCAGAATTGGCTTTCCATGCTAACGACATTGGGCGGGCCCGCACTCCACCAGTAGACCAGGATAATCGAGATGATGCGCACCAGTGTGTTATGTTCTTGATTTTTGTGGAATAACGTCTTCATGCGTTCATAGTAAGTTCGCGACTTTTCATGTTCCACGACCGGTGGATTGATTCTGCTCCCAAGGAGTGCCAGTGCTTGCTGCAACAACACGGACTCCGCGAAAGGCTGTCCCTCAAATATGCTCGTTCGATCCAGGACAGGACACCAAGGGAAACAGAATTCCATAAAAGTTTCGGCGAAGCTTTGTTTCAGGATGGGAGTCAAGGTCAGTCCGGATACATCGATGTTTCCTTCGTACGACTCTAATGCGTTGTTTTCCTGTGGACCGGGTTGGCTAAAGATGGGCAAGTATCCTGACTTTCCCAAGTAGCTTCTTTCATTTTGGACCGCAAATGACGAGTTTTGTTGTGGTTGGTCAAAGTCTCCGGTGGCATTTCCGGTGATGGCATTCGGTTGGCCCAGGCGGTGCCGCTCACGGACCGCAGTCTCGGGGCAGGCTGCTCCGTGGGATGAAGGAGAAGACACAGGATGTGATTCGCCCGAGGGAGATATGATAGCATTGCTGTTATTTCTTCTGTCTGCGGGTTGTTGATGTCGTTTATGGCCCCGTACGCCTCTCGGCTTTGAAGCTCGAATACTACATCCGACACGTCAAGGTCAAAAATGTAAAACTCGGTAAACCACTCACCTGCACGGAGTTCTCGAATTGCGGCAATGAGTACAGCTTGATTCTTTCTCCGTGGTGGAGATGTCACATTTGATCTCGAATGCATCTTCAGTAGGTCCCAAATATAAAGGAGATCGAGAGATATATCATACCTTTTTCTCATGGCAACGAATACAGACTAGGTTGGCTCGACGTCTGATATTTCGCTCAGGACTGGGACCAGGGTGAATATCATTTTGGATATTCGTCATCTTGCTGTGAGAGTGGCCCGCAGGGAGAAATAACCGAAAAACCGAAGAAGGCTGGAATTCGCTTAAATGAAGGATGGATGCGGGGATGGTTCAGACAACTCCTCGGCTTTCGCTTTGAATACGCTGTCTCCAATTTGTATGGCTGGAGACATTATGCCAGGGACCGGCCAATGGAAGTAGGTAGTTTCTGAGGACGGAAAGTTGTTCGTATATTACTCGTGTCTTATATAATCTGAACTTGAGATCACGTCCAGTACGTTCCTGTTCTCCAATTGAGTTGAGAATCTAAGGGTTTGTTCAATATTGCCCAAGCCGGCCGCATTTTCGGGAATACAGTATCTCCAAAAAGTCCCGTGTCGACTACATAAAGATCTCGTTTGAGCTCCTATCAGAGCAGAGGCAATCCAAAATTGAACCGTTCACTATGGCATCTACAACCTACCCGATAAGTACCGCCATTGACTGCCCTGAGAAGGTAGACTACTCGAAGGCGTCTGGAAAAAGTGTCATCGTCACAGGAGGTGAGCAATATCAATATTGAGAAACATACCCGTCAATTAACACATTCCAGGCAGCAGTGGACTTGGAGCTGCTTATGTCAGAGCATTCGCCGATAATCGGTTTGCGTCCCCTGTCAGCGAAGAATATTGGGACCTGAGATACCTTGCAGAGCATTCGTAACCATCGCAGACATCAAGCCTCCCACAGAAAATACGAACAGGCCAAAGTATGATTTTCAATTATTCATACCAATCGAAGCTGATGATTAAAGTGTTCGATATGTCCAGTGTGACGTGAGAAATTGGCAAGACCAATTGACCGCATTCAAATCGGCCATCGCCCATTCTCCCCAGCATTGTATTGATATTGTAATAGCTAATGCCGGCATTTCGGGTTCCGACGAGTTCTTTGAAGGCGCGTATCCTCCTATCAGTGTGATGGAGGATGACATTAATGCTAGTGAAGATGACGGTGACGAACCTCGCCAGCCTCGAACTGGAATTCTCGAAATCAATCTCCTTTCCCTTGTCTATACGGCAAAGCTCGCAATGCATTACATGAAGCGACAAGGACCTCAATTTGACAGATGTCTCATTCTGAAAAGCAGCATCATGGGCTTTCTGGATACCAATGGCTCTCCCACGTATGGAGCCGCCAAACATGGCGTACGCGGGTTAATGAAGTGTCTCAGAAGAAGGAGTGGGCTCCGAGTCAACGTGGTAGCACCCTGGTAAGAAATCATGAGGTATGAAATCAAATCTTGATTGATGAGAATTAGGTATATTGCGACGCCTCTGATGAGCGACGCCGTCATGAACACGCTTACAACACAATTAAAGGAGCAAGGTTCTGGGTTCGCCCTTGTTGAGGATTCAGTCAAGGCTGTCATGCGTATAGCTACCGATGATAGCATCAATGGTGAGCTCTTGCCTTGTTTCATGGATCAAAATGAGAGTTCTGTCTGTGATGTAGGGCGTTCAATCGCTGTTCTTCCACGAGAGACTTCCAAATCAGGTTATTTGGATCTCGATTTGGATGACTTCAAAACAGGAAGTCTTTACCATGATCTGCAAACGATATGCTCAAACCTTACACATAGGCAGCTTCCCCCACAGGAACAGAAATAGTGTGTAAGAATGTAGGAGGAAGTGGGACCCAGTAATGCTCTGACTAACCGTTCCAGTCGCTGCCCGGGGATTATTTCAAGGAAGATGGGGAGGTAGTTGGGCCGGGTTGCTATATGAAAGGGACGACTTTGGATCATTCGGAAATCCTTTGAACATCAGCCTCCCGTGTTTGCAGAATACATATGTTTGGCACTCGTGAGGTAAAATCACAATCCTGCCAGAATCATGCATGCGCGCGTTCGAGAATTGTCTCTTCCGCGGCACGCCTCTGCTGTCGGCGGGAATCAGCCCCTTACAATTTGAAACACTCCATTTTGATAATGAATACAAACCTACCAAGGAGTTCAGCTCGTGAGCAGCAGCAATATCAACAGGGGATCATCAGGCCATCTCACATGTGAGCACCAGCAATATCGTACATGATCAGCCAAAACCAGATCCTCGCCGATGCAACACCAGTGATCATGTCGAGATTGATGTCTCCTAGGCTTCCCGATCTTGCAACCTGGGTGTCGGTGGTTCTCTTGTTGCCCAAGCGCATGATGGTAAAACACTCAGGAGGAATAGGACGTCATTGACGTTGTCAGTGCGGCTCAGCGTTTCGAATGCTTCAGCCTCTTCGCTCCTGGGTGCCGCATCTGCCCGAACGCGCACCACTTTGGTTCGGGTTCAACTTTGGCCGGTACGACTGGGAACAGTCTCAATGGTGGCCGTAGTACTTGCTGGTGATATTTGACTGCACCCAATACCCAGCAGATTCGTCAGGTCAGCCCATTCTTTTCGTCCATGAAGTCGTTCCCAAGAAAGATATAGGGAGTAAGCGCCTCTAGGGTCCCTTCGCGAGGACGACGCAGGACGACTCTGGAAATGAATTACTCAATCGATCGATGTCAATGCCATACCCCGCATTCGGCAATCAAAATTCATACCCCAACATTACATTGGACGATATAACCGATGTTAACAATCTCGGTAAGACTGGTTATCCTGGTATGGTCGGTCAACGAGCTTTTGATCCGGATTCAGCATTTTGCCGTTTCTCCAACTCTCGAAAACGAACAATCTCGGAATGTGAAGGTAACGAAGCCGACAATCTCATAGAGATCTTTAAATTTCAAGTTTTTTCATGTTGATATTCTTGAGGTTGTTCGAACACGGGATCGGAACTCTGGAAAATCGCAGAAACGGGAAGACTTACAATCGCCATGACTCTCTCAGCAGACATGGAAAATGCCGGCCCGGCCGTGGATTCCATGCCAAATGGATTTGACAGCATAATCAAAAGTACAAAAATAACAGACGACTGTTCCAAAGTGGGTCTAGATTATCATATAAACGGCACTGTCACGAGCAATGCGGACATCTCAAGTCCGCCAACCACTTCCAAAATACCTCGTCTCCACATCTCGAAAGACTATACAGTGACAGAGGAACCCATTGGAACCATTCGACCAGCCAGGATTATATGTATCGGTGCTGGTGCGAGTGGGGTGAACATGGCGTACCAGGTACAGCAATACGTGCGGAAGGCTGAACTCGTTATATACGAGAAAAATGACGGGATAGGAGGAACGTGGTATGAGAATCGATATCCTGGGTGTAAATGTGACATCCGTGTGTACACCACTTCCCTATAATATTTCCACTGGCTTCGGTTACTGACTCTCTCAATAGCATCGCACAACTATCAGTTCTCATGGGAACCAAACCCAAATTGGAGCGAAATGTTTTCGCCGTCTGATGAAATTCGCGAATATCTCGAACACTGTGTTCAGAAATATGATTTGGCGAAACACATCCATCTCAATCACAAAGTAATCGGAGCCACGTGGGACGAAATGAACTGTATATGGAATGTGCAGATTGAGGACACAAGAAAGCAAGGAATCTTCTCCGACTGGTGCCATTTCCTCGTCAACGCCGGTGGAATTTTGAACGATTGGAGATGGCCAGATATTCCTGGCCTACACGACTTCCAAGGGAAATTGGTCCATAGCGCCAACTGGCCGAGAGATTGGGATTACAAAGACCTCAGGGTGGCGGTCATCGGGAACGGTTCGACTGGCATCCAAATCGTTCCTGCTATCCAGCCACATGTCCGGGAACTCATGCACATTATTCGGTCGCCCACGTGGGTGACTCCGGGCGCGGCATCTCGATATCCATCTCTCCGGGGTGGCGCAATGCCAGACAGGTTCAGCGAAAAACAGAAGGAGCACTTCCGCGACGACCCAGCTTCATATCTTGCTTTTCGAAAACAAGTGGAGCGAGAAATCAACTCCAAGTTCCAAATGCTCGTGAATGGCAGTGAACGAGCAGATGAAGTTCGACGAATGGCACATCAAAGTATGGTCCAGCTTCTTGGGCCCGAAGGCGCCAAATTTGCCGACAAAATCATCCCAGACTTCCCGGTCGGATGCAGGCGCATAACGCCCGGAGTCGGGTATCTTGAGAGCTTCACCAGAGAGAACGTTCGGATCATTACAGACGTCAGAATCGAGAGGGCCAACAAGACCGGCCTGGTGCTATCGACCGGCGAGCATCTTGAATTAGATGCCATCATCTGTGCGACTGGATTCGACGTCTCTTTCACACCTCGTTTTCCCATCCACGGTCGGGATAACATCAGCTTGAAGGACGTCTGGTCCGAACCTAACATCCCCTACGCGTATCTTTCGATGGCTGTGCCAAAGTTCCCTAACTATTTTAGTAAGCTTTCAAGACTTTTTCGACACACCGGAGACCACTCACACTAACCATGATAGTCTTCCTCGGACCTAACGCCCCCATCTCGCACGGCAGCGTTTTTACCATTACAGAACAATGTTCCAAATATGTAATGCAGCTAATCACCAAGGCACAGACCGAGAGGATCAAAGCATACGAAGTGAAACAAGCAGCCTGCGACGACTTCCTTACGCATATCCAGCACTTCATGCCCCGGACAGCCTGGGCCGCGACATGCAGATCATGGTTCAAGAACGGCAAAGTCAACGGACCCGTCCTGGCCATTCACCCCGGAAGCCGTATTCACTGGTTCCATGCCCTTGAACGACCAAAATTCGAGGATTACGAGTACACATATGAAACGAACAATAGGTTTCAGTACCTGGGAAATGGCTTTTCTACTCGTGAACTAGAAGAGGATGGTGATGACACGTGGTTTCTTGAACACCCTGAAGCGAAGTTTCTGTATTATTGAACAATTTGGCGTGCCGCGCTTTAACGCTCTTCAGATAAATCGTTGGAGAAGATAGAAGAAGAATCATTAAATCCGGAGGAACGAGCGACGAGCGACGAACGACGAGTTGGTTTTCCTCGACACATGAGCTCATGGATTGGGTGAGAACGAGTCGAATCATCTGAGGGATAGAGAAATCGTACGGAGTATTTAGATTCTGAGTTAAAAGTTCATATCTCAATTTGTTGTCAAGAAAATTAAGCAAGTAGAAGTGCATGTTAGCAAGCCCTGCACCCATTTAGTGTACCACATATTTGGTGCAGAGCACCCCTCGACCCGCTCTTCTTTGCTTACTAGAATATCTTCTAATCAATCGCCTTCTCGCTAGCAAGAAGGAATCGAGGGACCGAGGGGTTCTGTTTCCCAAATCGAGGAGCTGTTTACTGCCTGCTGCTACTGTGTACAGCCTTGCGTTGGTGGAGGCGATTTCGACCCCAGTGCCTAGGCAGCTACGCAAAGATCACATCAACATTGCGGTATTCTAGTTCTCGCCTTCATATCAAGATATACCCACTCCAAGTAGACCCCCTCCATGTTCACATTCATACCAGACACCGACACTATCTGTCTATCATCCACGGATGTCCGGGACGTTGAAACAATAAGGTCATGCATCATAGCCTTGGAACGGGATGTTACAAAAGCCGAGCGAGAAATCATATTGCTGTTCCAGGAACTTGCAGCCGTGGAAATGGGAGCCGAAGGGGCGAACGCATGACTGAGAACACTAATGGAAACACGACCAAATACGGAATTGAGTTCATTGAAAGCAGAGCGAAAAGTGCGCTCAAAAACTTGAAATCCTTGTCCAAAGGCACTGCAGGAGGGGAAAGCGATCTAACAGCCTCGTCGAAGGACATTTCGGAGACGAAGAAATTTGTCGCATGTGTCAGAACATAGTGGAAATTCAAGTAATTCCTGGAATGGTCGAAAGACGAGCTTAGGGGGACGAAAGGTGCAATTCGGGACGTCAAGGGCCAGATAGGACATGTCAAGAACTCGATGCATAAATTCGAAGAAATGGTATGGACAGATATGAGACGTCGCTCAACCCCGAATCTCCTCAGAGAAAGAAATCCTCTGATCCCGTATGGATAGATTACTAGTGACACTTCAGAGGGATGACAGGAGTTGGGTCTACACTCATCAACCTGACCGATAACTTGTACCTGGAGAAAAGCAAATAACCAGCCAGCCATTACTATTGAGACCAGGTGTTGGCGTGGTAGGTGGGTTGCCCAATGAAGGCATGTCGAACGGCGAGTCCGAGTTAGTCAAGGGTAGAAGAATGTTTCCCAGGCTAAAGCGGTTAGTTTGAAAGGTGAGCAGGTCAACTTACAGGGTGAAAACATGGCAGTCCATTTCATGTGAGATAGGGAGAGGACCGCCAAAGGCGTAGGCTTTTCCTCATCACTCTGTCTGAAGCTTGCAACTGGATCGGTACCTCATCGAACAGAAGTTACCGAGGTCTATTGGCTCGTAGTCCATCTCATGTTTCGCCGGTTGTGGAGACCGTACGTGAGTCCAAGCGGCCATCACCACAAACCTTTTCAAGACTTTGATCTCATATCCCTTAGTCTTCATCCTCCCTTCTGAGTCGCTTTTTTGGTCTCGGATCATTTACTGCGACCACCATCGAACTCTGTATGACACGCAAAAGAGTCTTTCCGATCAAGTTCGCCACAGTCGGCGGCAGCGCTCTGCCAATATCCTTGTACTGAGACGTCGTGGATCCATAAAACACAAAGTCATCTGGGAAGCCCTGGACCCGGGCAAGCTCACGAACAGTAAGCAAATCACGCCTAGTTGGATGAATGAGAGGCGTGGCGCTGTGGCTGAGGGCAAAGATATTAGCAACATCCATTTTCAGGGTCGCTTCCCTATCGTCTGGCCGGGATCCAGTTTGGTGGTTGTAGAAGTATCGAGCCAATCCAGCACCTTCGGCATCGAGATGATGTTGGGTAAGATGAGAACAAACGAAGCCACCACTTGCTCTTGGTATTGCACGCTGATTTTCAAAAGCAAGGTCTCTTATGACGTCGTCTATAGTCACGGAGCTCTCCAAATTCATGGTGGTCCAGTCCAAGTCCCATGGCAGTGAATCACAACAAGGAGATGCAATAACGGCGAGGACTCTGCGATCCTGGGGAATAGCATGGTCGTGCATTGGACACAGCCTGATATGCACTGACCACCTCTGGCCTAGTAGCTTGAGTATGGTCGTGGAGAATCTGCCGATTGTTGAGGAGTGTAGCAATGCTGGTGGCATCAGCGCGACTAGGAAATTTGGGCGGATAGATGATTTGGCAGCTGCGTCAACGATGTCTAAGGGCTCCAGAAATTGTTTCCTCGATACCATCCACTTATTTCCGTCATTTAGTCTGAAAAGTGCATGTTCTCCAGCTATGATCGCCACTTTTGGTGGCCCTGGATCAGGTGAAGAGGGAGGGCGAAGCGTCCCGGAACGGAACTCATCAAAGATGTCTTGAGGCGTACCGTCATACACCTGACTTGAATGATGGCGTGTCTAACCAGGATCAGCACCGAATTTGAAAGCAATGGTCTCATAGGATAGCGTACCTTCCATGTCATATGACGTTCCTGGTCAAAACCAAGCGCTGCCTGAATTGTAAAGCCTGCTTGTGTAAACCCTTCGGAAGGTCCTAAGACTTGAGGGGCACAGTCAAAAATCACAGGACGAGAATCGGGGAACTTCGGTCGTCGCCACCTATCCCGGCTCTGCAGGAGGGTAGACGCCACTGGCGTAATGCAAGCAACATCGCTACCTGTCGCCGCGCAAATGCCAAAGCGGCAGAATGGTCCACAGTCATCAAGGTCTGTTCCGTGGTCAGAGCGGAAACGAAGTTTGTCTGCTTAGTAATAACTCTCACCTCGAGGAGGATGAAGGACATAATCCACACCGTCCGAAGAGTCTTCGGCGCCTAAATTAAAATCCGTAGCGGAGCTAATGTCCTGGATATTGATGAATTCGGCATCATCTCGCGTTCCCATTTTGTCGAAGTCACCGAAATGCAGGAGGAGCTCCTTATCATGTATTGTTGTGTCACTGGAAGATTCCTGCGCTTCAAATGGATAAGTGGACTTAAGGGCAGAGTACTTGGTTACCACCAAATAGTATGTTCCGGAGCCGGAATCGTCGTCATCATAACAAATATCGTGAATAAAGACGATGTATTCAGACAAGCGTTCGGGAAGCATCCGGATAAGCGCGTACTCATCTTGCTCAAAGACATACTCGACGTGTTTGCATATATAGCTGGAAACAGAAGAGGTGGTTCCCTGTGAGAGTCAGTCATGTTGGAGGATTGCAAGCCAAGGACATATAGTTGAGAGTTTACGTACTGAACATTTCCTTTCACGTCTGGGAAGAAGTTGAGAAAATTCTCGCGGCATTTCTCGATCATGCCAACTCCGCCAGGCCTTGGCATCCTGGACAAATTCTGTCGAGTCTGCAAGGCTAGAATTTCGTGGTTCGGCTTGCGTATGGCTTGCGGGCCCATAGGGCTGTCCGGAGGGAGTATCACTCACAGTTGTTGCTCTTCTGCTGAATCTTGAGACCAACACAGTATGTTCCGAATTCACATCCTCGTTCAGTTCGTCTGGAACCCTCTCCACACTACTATCGTCCATGGATGATGCCTCGGCAAGGTCGTGGCCATTTAAATCGGGCGCCTCAGGAATTTGGAGAGCTCGGTTGGCACGAAACGCACCACAGGACCGCGTCGGAACTTTTGGTGCAATGGGTGCAGGAGGAATCCCAAAGTAAGACATGTCTTCGGCTCGAGAAATCATTGGAAAGTACTTTTCCTGGTGGTGGAGTCCTCTGAAAACTGCTTTGGAGCTGAGTAGAGACACGACTTGCGTGGCACAGTTGCACGGGATGTGGTCTTCCGCGGAGGATGATGGGCTCTGACCAAAGAGCGTATCCATAGGTGGTATACGTGCTGCTGAGAATCAGTCTCGAATACGTTTCGCAAAGCTGCTTCTGGGGAATGTACTTACCATTTCGATGGAGGAGCTCGTGGCTCCTTGAATCACACGTACTCATCGTGTGTAACGTGACATTGTACAGGATGTCGGCAGCGTACTTCGCAGATATGATACCGCTCTCATTTCCGGTCCAGCTGACCTCAAGCTCATTGGACTGCGACGTCGGAGAAACTCTGATAAGTCGTGGCATCTGTCGAATGCATGCGCGGGCTTGACGTACAATTTCCACACATTCGTTGCGATCTAGTCCGAGGTGGGGGCGAATCCCATCGATAGCTAGCTCAAACAGTTCTTCAGCAACGTGATCACAAAAGAAAGCTCCGGTCTCCATCGACTCCACTCCCAGAGAGACAATTTGGCAGTTCGTGACCTCATGGATCTGGTGGAAATCGATCCATTTCTCGTGAATTCGTAGAATGTTGTCCTCCTCTCGAAACAGAACGTTGAGATTGAGTACTCCACCTTTTACGAAACGGACTTCCATGTGCTTCAATCGAGGGTCCAGTGAGAGTGATGCCTTCAAGGCTCTTATGATGCTTCCACAGAAAGAGTCCTCCGGGATGTCAATCGAGTCAGCGCCCATAAATAAGTGAATTCTTTCTTCATGAGGAGTTCGAGCCAATGAAAACTTCCTAAGAATCTCCCAGAGCGCCTTGGGAAGCGTGTGAGGCTGTTTCTTGAGATCTGTTGCAATGACTTTGGGCTGGTGGTGTAATTATTAGTGCTCGTGGGCCAGATTGCCGTAGAACAATGCCTTACCTGGTCGAATATGTTTGACTGTGAGATATCCTCGGAATAGAAGAACGCGTCTGGGAAAGAAGATCTCAATCGATGCCAAATGATCTTCGCAGTACATAGGGATAACTTTTCAATTGCGAGGGCAATGTCGGCGCATTCTTCGTGATCGCGAAATAGATTGATGTAGGCATCGGTAATGTCATCCCCCTTCGCTCTCATCGACTCGTGCCAGATTTGGGCCAGTAGCTCGGCTTCCTCCAACGGGTTGGCTAACCGTTGCCTATCACGATTGATCGAGCCTCGAATAAAATTGTATCCGAAAACATAGTCTCTATCACTGGAGCCGTGGCCGGGGATACGTAAACCTTTGAGGTAGATGTGGCCGGCGAACCGTGAATCTAATATGAGATCCCCATAGTCGGTGCGGATGATTTTAGTGGATTTGGGTGGATTGAGGTCGATCGACACCTCCATCCATGAGCGAAAATCTTTTTCCAGGAGCTTGGTACCGTCGTCTCCTCTGCCTTTTCCAATTCTCACCGTGACATCTTCCCAGATATTCGCGGTCAGGCCTCTCCGAAAATTGGGCGCGGTAACTTTGTTAGCATACACCTCTTGCTTCCTTTTGACCGCCTCTGCCTTTGCTTGGCGAAGACTGCAACAGAGTGTGGCACGGTTAGCCCCGCGAAAGCCGAAGTTCCAGTAGTATGAACTGGATGCGAATCGAACTGAATGTCCCTCGCGCCGCATGACAAGCGCGGCAATTTTAAATCCCTCTCCATGGGTTCCCGCAAATTTATCTTGGCCGACTTTGCTTGACTCACCGATGCCCAGATGTTTCACCTCAAGATGAGCGTTGAAATTGGATAGCTCAAGGCTTCCGACGGATTTATTGAAGCGTATGAAACCAAGAAGTTCTTGTGAGGCTTTTTCTGACCCTGATGGATGGGTTCTGTGAACGGTAATCTGGATTTGAGTGCGTGTTTCTTTTATGGACGGTTGGAATGAACGAGGGTCGAGGTCAAATGATGCGATAATGGCATCTTTCCTATGTCGTGTTAGCAAAATGAAGACCGGGTGGAGCATTGGCCTTTACCAATTCTGATAGAATTCGCGGAACGCCTCACATTTTCCCCAACGCGGGACGTAAGACCTGCTCAATCCCAAGTAACGCAAACCGTTCCTCAGGTCGTTGTATCCGTCCTCCGATAAGTCGTCGAAATCTGAGATGTCATCATCATCCGAAGATTCATTCTTTATTTCGACAAGCCTATGAGAGCTTGGTCCGGAAGAGGAGGACGGTTGAAACTGGTTCCAATAGGCCATTTCGGGCTCGGCGGAGCCTAACAAAGCAAATTAGCTTGGGCGTAGTGGAAGCTTGCCTTCCCGACTTTTTGGCCGTACCACTTTCCAATTTTTAGCCGTTCAATCGGGGCTGGCAGAGCTGGGCAACTGCTTTCAATGTCATGTAGAGGTGCGCAGGAGCGAGGAGAGGTTTCACTCAGGTGGTTGCGTACTCAATCCTGGAGGCAAGCACTGCAGGCAGATGAGGGACTAGTCCCAAAAGTGCAAAGCCCCGAGCAAGAATCCAATCACGTGATTCATTTCGCAGTGGGAGCCTTGTCAAACGGGGTTGCAACTTGAGATGTATTGAACGCTCTGTTCTCTTCAAATGAGTGTGGGATAGAGCTCATCCATATATTTATCTACGCGGTATACGATGTGCTGTTATCTGTCAATGTTTTTGCCAGCTAGGAGGTGAGTGTTGCAGAATGAGTTGGTCTCTCAGGAGCGATAGGCCACTATTTGTTCGACAAGCCTTCACCCGCTGAACATAATAGATTGAACTTTGAATTTGTTTTGGCAATCTGAAGGAATCACTTGAGGCTTTTCCGATCAGCATCCAGTGCCGCAATGACATCCACAATCGCTTCTTCCTTCTTGCTCGTCCACGCGTGCGCCGCTGGTCCCGGATCATTCAACAAAAACACCTCCCGCCATCGATCAGGATGTGTGACCTCCAGCACCGTCCCCGACGGGAAGTTCTCATCAAAACAAACAGCCATCATTCCCCTTGCAATCTCATCTGTAGACGCTAGCTTGTCCTTCTCGGGGTCGACGAAACGGAGCGCTTCAGGATGGTCGTACATCAGCGGCGACATGGTCGGGCCCGGTGCTACAGCCACGACACGGATTCCAGCCAGCTCTTTGAGTTTTGCCATGCAACGGGCGAAGTTGCTGATGCCTTGCTTCGCCGCTCCGTATAGTGGTGTGAGAATACTCGATTTCTGCGCTCCGGTGCTCGAGACGAGAATGATTGTTCCTGTCTGGTCGGATTGGAGGAATTTCCTGATGGCGATGCGAGACATTTTGATTGGGTGTTCCAGATTGATCCGCAGGATCTTATAGAATTCCTCGTCCTTGTCGTTCCAGAAATTCGGGGCAGACTTCGATGATTGTTCTCAGTAAAATAGTCAGTACTTGAAAAGTTTTGCTTTGGCGTACTGGTTCATATACTCCTGCTCCCGGGCACAGGATTGATGGAACGCCTCCAAATTCCCGTGCATATGCGTCGAATGCCTCGTCTAGCTGTTTCCAATCCGTTACATCTGTCTTTTGGAAGACAACTCTAGGAGCAGCGGAACCATTGGGAGTCGCCGTGCTCAGCGACTCAAGCCACTGGACCGCCTCACGGTGGAGGCTGAGGTCGCATATCAAAACATTGCATCCAGCTTGATAGAGGTGTTTCGTAAACGCAAGACATATGCCTAGTTTTGCAGATAATGTTATCCCCCTGCTCCCCACACTTAGTCAATTGATTCGGAAAACCACACACCTGATCCTCCGCCGGTGATAATAGCACCTTTTCCTGCAAGATTGACTTGAGACATTCTTTACCCTTTTAATCGCTTGCATTCAAAATGTCTTACACAACAGAAATAATCGGGCAAGAAAATTGAAACCCCACAGGAATCCATAAATAGTTCTTCCGACGTCAAACTTCGAACTCGGCCAGGCCGAAACATTTCTCCATCCTTGAGGGGAAGGCTCGTTGAGTCCGATTTTACCGGCATTACCGGACTGCCGGGTGGCATCGATGAACATATCATCGTTCCATACCTCGAAGATAGAGCAAAACCCTCGAGGCGTGATAGGACTGGGATGACTACCGCCAAATAACGCTTAGCTCATACGAGGACGGCAACTCACCCACAGCTTCAAATGGGTTCGAAACCACGGTCGGAGCCTTCATTCAAAAATGGTCCATCTATGATATCTTCCAGGTGGCTCTCAAGCGACAGATTCGTCAAGAGGAAGCCGTTCTTGAACTGGATGGCGGCCGACGTCATTGAAGAGGTTTCGGGGCTGATATTCGAGCGAGATATAGAATTCTCCCCCGCCAGGTACAGATCATGTGCCGCCAAAATGGATCAGATTGAGTGCTTTGAGGACCACTGTAGCCAGCGGCTTCATCGTATGTGTTACATAGAGTATCAATGACATCACCTTTGTTTTGCTGTCACGGTTCTAGAACCGTGGAAGGTCCAGACACTATCTTACCTTGAGCACATTGAATCCCAGTCCGGACCAATCTTGGGAGGCCATGTCATGAAGGTATCGAGGTAGCAATTACGGTGTTGAATCATAAAAAGGGTAGACACTTCGAGAACTTCATGAATTATCAGAACAAGCCATTGGCAGAATCATATGAGCTGCACTGTAGTGTGAAGAAATGCCAACCGTACGAAACATTTTCCATTATTCGATACTATAGAATAATCTTTCAAAGGGTTCAACGTCCAGGAGAAAGTCATTGTCGGCTAGCTGTATGTCAATGTCTCCCCAATCGCATTGCACATCGCCATAGCCGGCCGGTTCCATAAGGGTCTGCGCCCTTTCCACGCCAGCGCTCGTGTCCTGCGCATACATGGTCGCATGAGAGCTGCTTACGGCGCCAGCGAACAGGCTCTCCAAGTTACCATTCATATTTCCAGCACTGGAATGGGGATTGTGCCGGCCCACGATGCACGCATCTGGTGGGACATTGACCACTAGTATCTGGTCTATGTAATGGTGGACGGCGCGACGCACTTCGCTTGACACCCGACGGTGGTACCTTTTCACAGCCTCGGAGAAACTAGTGAGTATCTCATGGTACAGACGCGCCTGTTGGTTTGTGGCAGCGATACAATCAAGGACCTCGCGGGCGCCTTCGAAGGAGTTTCCAATGTCCTTGCGGGGCTCGCCAGCGAACATGGAAAAGCCGAGGACGAGGCCTGCACCAAAGATCCAGGCGCTAAAATGGACAGACATGTCAGCCACATTTACGAGGCATGGTCCGGGCAGATATGTGCGAGAGATGAAGCGAGATGGGCCCTTACTTGAGCAGACACATATTGCCGAAATTGTAATTCGATACCCTGGCTCGCTGACACATGTCGACCATGTAAATGGCCGAGCTCACACAGACTTGCGCCAACTTCGACACCGTGTTATTCTTGATGTTGACGTCTGACGCTTCATCCGGATCACTGATCAGCTGATCGGGTGCTCTGCCACGAAGCCGTGACATCAGATAGGCAATTAGAAACGGTCTGGTGATGAGCATCACGGCAAAATAATACACACACGAGACATGGATGTTTCCCGCGAGCAGTTGTCGTTCTGCCGAGTCGAGGAATGGCCCGCTGCTCGACGTGAAGGTGAATTGACGCAAGGGGGGTGGGAAAGTCTGAGACCAAGAGCGGAGTTGCTCAAGCAAGCCTTCCGCTGTGGGAACGTGAAGGATGCTGCCCTTGCTCAATGTGTTAACAGTGTCTTCCAACAACGAGCAGCCCTTTAGGATAGCCTTGAACGCCAGTGGCGAATCTTGCGGAACTTGTCCATCGATCGTCTCCATTTCTCTCTCACCATGCCCCATGACGGGGAGACTCTTAGGTCTGCCCAAAATGAAGCTGGAGAGGATGTCGATATTTCGGAGGCTGTTCCACGTTCGCAGCCTGAGAGTGTGAGTTAATGATGCGGTCACACACGGGATTTTCCAATGGCCAATGCAGATAGAGCCTTACCTGACCTCCAACTCCTCCGTTCGAAGGTTCTTATAACTCGCTAGGTGATGAAGCCCTATCACCACGGCTGCTCGGGCAGCCACGCCCAGGTACATGGCTGCCGCGTTCCTGTTGCAGGCCCCAAGCATATAGAAGGCCATGAGAAGAAACAGGCGGACCAGACCGAGGCTTTGTCTTGTCAACATTCCCTCAAATGCGACCCTTTGCGCACGAGCAAAATAGCTTCTTCCGAGCTGAGCGTTGGCACCGCCCAAATCCCGAGCCTGGGCCCCTATGGCCAAGGCAACGTCGAGAGCAGCGGCATCAAGGTTTACATCTGACGGAGATGGAGGGGTCGATGTGCTTGTTTCAGTTTGCATCCTTTCGGCTATAAGGGTATCTGTCTCATACGTGGTGAATAGGTCGAGAAGACCGCTGGTCTAATATGAGATTAGGAGAGACATCATTTTTGTCCCTGGGATCCGTTTTACTTACGTCTTCAAAGTAAGAATCTAGCAAGGAATATATCTGCTCCACTGTGACATCTGATACAGGGCGTTCGATGTCGTTGACGTCCACCTCGATAGTCGTCTGATAACGGTCCCCATCCGTAAACGACAGGGAGCCCACATATGATCGGAGAGTTTTCCGCAAGAAATGCAAAAATGACAATGATGCCGTTCCATCAACATAGACTGGAGTCCAAATAAGTAAAATTCCAGAATGGTCGAATCATCATGATGAGAGATTTCATGGTCACCACGTTACCTTGTTCATCCGTTAACCCGCTCAATAGACGGCCATTGGGCAAGGGCAGGTTCGTGACGCGGTCATTGGTGGGCTCTGGCGTAATAGGACCAGAGGAGAATGTGGGATTTAGCGGGTCGTCGTCTAGATGAGGATAATCATAGTGATCGTTCACAACTGGGAGGATAGGCCTGTGGCGGAGTTGCGCCCTTCGAGAAAGGTCCTGGTGGGTTCCTATGAGGTTGTGATGCCGCCGCCGACGACGGTCAACGCCCGAATAGGTACATGAAGCACCCCGGCCTCGTCTGACACATGAGGCACAAGGCAACTGAGCGTCGCACCGTATCTTGGATGCCTTGCACGCTCGACACGCCTTGCAAGATCGTTGCCGGTCCTCGGGCCGAACTTTAGGACGGGGCATGATGGGCACGTTCGGAGTCCTTGTAAGATCCAAATATCCCTAAGGCTCAAAGAACTAACGTGAAAAGGACAGGATCCAGTGCATCATTGTTTGAAATCTCGAATATCTGGATGTGTATTGGCCCTTTGACACAGTGATTAACGGATAAAGTACCTAGAGAGCAACCCCAGAGAGAACCTCCGTCGGGCTAAGGTTTATCCGGCAGACTCTGCCCGCTGTACATAGTTTAGGACGCAGACTGGCCTGAACCCCTGATAACGCTCTGCGGGGCCCTTCGCATCGGGCGGCAGTTCCCTTCCTCGACACAACCTGTCCTTTATCGTTAAACAGTCGTCGAAGATGGGCACACCAATGATTGTCAGTCTGAGCTACCGCGGCATTGCAGGAGTTTCTTATGTGGAGCAAAGAAGTCAAAGCCCAAGGGTTGGCAAACCTGGGTGTAGGGATCAATGCCTCGCTCTGCACTGGACCCAGGAGAGTATGTCGTTGAAGATGACTCTCTCTCCTCTCCTCACCACAAAGGAGCTGACCACAGACTTGGAACAGACATCGCCGCCTTTGACGACGATCCCACCAAGGTGACAATCTAGGATGAAAGCGCCAGTGCCAACAGCGTCGCCACGCAGTTGATCACCTACAGGGCTTGTGACGACGGACTTTTCCGCGCTGCCGTCAGCCATCGTGGCGCTTCCAGCACTTGCAGACGCCCTGGAGAGTGGCAGCCATACTACGACACCATCATTAAAGCAGCCAACTGCAGTACCGGCAAGGTTACCTTGACACGTCTTCGGATGGTCCCAACAGATACCGTTCATACCATCTTCGACAACGACACCATAATGCCGATGCGTACTCTGGCTAGTCTAGTTGGACCACGGTCCGTGCAGACAATTGACGATGATTTTGTTCAAGGCAGCGCCACGGCCATTTCGTCAAGGCCCCTTACCTCACCGGCGGCAATATGGATGAGGGAACGAGCTTCGCTATGGCCGGCATCAACACTACCAGAGAGGCCTGGGGTGTTGCCAATGCCACTGCCCAAGTCTGTTACCGTACCGTATTAGGATATTCTAGAGATCGGCGTTCTCACGGTGCTACATTCTACAGCTATCTTTTCAACACCACCAGCAACGGAGTTAGTCCGAATGTCGGACCAAATCATGGATCAGAAGTACCCTATGTGTTTTACAATGTGCAGGGCAAGGGCTATGCTGCCGGAAAGGAGCCCGTGGCAAATGTGCCCGAGAGATACATAGAGCTCGCAGACGTGATGTCGACGATGGGGTCACTTTTGTGACGAACCTGGACTCGAAATATTCCGGGAGTGAGTTTACGATTGCGCAGAGGTCGCGGATAAAGACGCTGACGAGTATACCTACCACAGCCTCCTAGGTCTATTGGCCCGAATATGCTCAGAATGAAAATACGTCTCTGGGCTACGTGGAGCCAGATCTTTACCGTGCAGCGGCCATCAATTAGTGAGCGACAGCTTGGATACTATCTTTGGACATTGGCGAGCTAAAATAGAAGCCTTGGGTGTTGATATAAGCTGAAAGACATACATAAGATGTTCACAATACAGTAGGTCTATCTCACAAACTTCTTGTACCTTGCTGATTGTACTTGAAGGCAAATACCCTTTAGACTCGGATTGTGGCGGAACACGTAGATTATGAGACGGACTTTCCGAACTCTTGTTTGACTGCCAACGGGAAGAACAATTTCCACACGTAACCTCGTCTCTAATACATTGTACGCTTCGTACACGCTTCGGTCCTCTGGAACCCCTTCGAAATGGGACAAGTCCTTCGTAAAATCACAACCACATCGAACCCAAACACCGCATCAACTTTTATTTGAGACAAGTACAGTTCAAACTCCATAATGACGGACTGCTCATGTAGCGACTGCCACCTGTCTACTGAAGTTCTTTGCAACAGCCTGAGCGAAATACTCTCCAACAGTTATGGGAGGGCTGTGTTCTCCTGATTAGTCCAACCACTTCAATGACGAACGAAAAGCGAGCAACACTCACTATTTCTTTTGCGGCCCCTGTAAGACAAAGTCCCGTCGAGCTTGATTAAAATATGCAATGGAGTATCGAGACGGAGACAAGCCCACGTCCTTTGCACGCACACGGTGGAAATTAGACTTCAAACGGTCATCGGACCAAGCCACTACACCGGATTGAGTCAGCCAGGACATGTTAGATACATGGAAAAGAATCAGACTTACTAAGCATATCACCGATATTGACAACAATCGGGCCTGTCTTAGCAGGTAGTGGTGTAAAAACATCGCCCAGCGCGAAGCTGGAGTGGGTCTCCCTGCCTGGACAGATTTCGAGACCATCCTCCCCGTCTCGCTGGAATAGAAGGGTGAGACATCCAATGTCGGTGTGGCTTCCAGCTCTCCAAGTGCCAATTGCGTTCGTCGACGGCGGGTAATGAATGAGGCGAAGTTGTGTCAAACAGTCGGGTTGAGTTGGATCGTTGGCAACTTTGAAGTAATCCTCGGAAAATCCCAGGGCAACGGCAAAGCACGACACTAAATGTGCAGTGTTGGTCAGAGATACATACACACATGATTTCTTGATAGAATTCGTCATTCCACATACGAACACGGTCGGAGATATCTGCACACTTGCGCATGAAGGCCTCCGTTGTCTCTCGGAAGCCTGGGACATCCTCATCGCTCGGCCACTGCGAGTGACGCTGCAACCACAGAGATTCCTTCTGATCATAGGTCCCCGTGCTCGGGCGCAGTTGAGCCTAGATTGGTAAATTCTTTAGGAAAGGGGTCTCTCGATCGTGGACAAAATGAATCTAGGTCTTCTCACCATGTACTCCCATCCATTGTTGGTCTTGGTGTCATGCGGAGTTCTTCCCTTGACTTCAGCTGGAAGACCGAAGAACTTCTTCGAGATGGAGAATTGGGATTCAATTTCCTCGACAGAAAGCCCATGCTCCACCAGGGTGAAGAAGCCTGCATGTTCAGCTGCATCTACAAGCTGCCGTGTGATTTCGTCTTTGCGACTGTCAAAGTCTGTGCTCAGTGGATTAATACGTTCTCTTGCACAAGATGGGCCAGGGTGGAATACTGTCTGCTTCCTACCTTTCAGCGAAATAACGGGAACGAGTCTGTCGGCCATGTTAAACAGAGTTCTTTTCACTTCTTGCTCCTAAGATCTATCGATGTGGTCGTAAGTCTGCCACAGGCCCACCAGAACTATTCAATGAACGATCTATCGCGATGGTCTCTCATGGCCATCTAGACCTGATGTGTGGGAGTTTCTTCCGTAATATCTCAGAGTCAGGCGATCAGGTACAGTTCCTCAGTACGTCGTCAAATTCTGACGTCTAATCAAGCAACGAAGTTTGTAGAATGACAGCTCCACACGCTTCAAGGTGTAGAGGTGCCGCACGGATATGTACCGATAACTCCCGTTTATCGTGGCTATAGCCGAGAGCCGTTGCCCTCGGTGGCGTTATCTTTGGTGGATACCACGAGCTCTCGGCTATGTACCTGGTCGATACTCAACTAGGGTAATTCAATCAACGGGGATTGTTTACATTTCCCACCGTCTTCGTATGATACGGGGTAACACCCCCCCAAGACGGGTGGCCGTCATGATGAGCAATTGAAATTATTAAGACACCCCCGCAGGCACGTCTGGTCCTCGCAATGGGAAGAGGGCTCATGTCTCGACACTTCCAGAGCCGAACAATGTCTGCACTACCCGAGATGGCAGAGACCAAGGATACCAAGGTGAAGTTATTGAGACAAGATGGACACGCTGATAACCTGGTCGGTTTGCTGACGATGTTGTGAATAGGGTGCTGTTGATACCAGCATTGAGGCAGCGATCGATGTCAATGCCGCAAGCGAAGACAAGGCACTGGCTCTGCTCGCGGCTCATCATGTTGAGTTTGATCCCAATTCGGCCGAGTCAAAGCGGGTGCTACGCAAGATTGATGCTCGAATCATGCCCATGATCTTTGTTGTCTATCTCCTGCAATTGATGGACAAGAATAGCTTGTCGTTCGCGGCAATCATGGGCATCAGACAGGACACCCACCTCACGCCTAGCCAGTATTCCTGGTTGGGCTCCATCGTCTAGTGAGTACTCACAACTCTTGGATGAATAGGGTCAAAGCTGATCTTTACACCAATCTAGCTTTGGGTACTTGGGTGGCGAGATCCCTGCGACGTTTTTCATGCAACGAGTCCCTCTGGCCAGGTATGTTGCTATCATGTGCATGCTCTGGGGAATTGTTGTCGCCATGCATGCAGTCTGTCCCGACTTTGGCAGTCTTGCCGCCGTGAGACTCCTCCTAGGCTTCATCGAGGTCTGCACGGCGCCGGCCGCCATCTATATTACGAGCTCGTGGTACACGAAAAAGGAGCAGGTTTCTCGGGTGGCAATTTGGTACTCGACATCCGGCTGGGCGGCAGTCTTCGGCGGCTTTTTCGCCTGGGCCATCTATCACGCAGACGGTTTCCGATGGCAGGGTTTGTTTGTCTTCTACGGGGCCCTGACCTTCTGCTTCGGCGTCATCCTGTTCTTTTTCCTTGCCGCATCGCCGACCGAGGCAAAGTGGCTAACAGAGGACGAGAGGGTCATTGCTCTAGAACGAGTGCGAGACAATAAGACGGGCACCGAGGTCTGGAAGTTTAGCTGGCCTCAACTCAAGGAAACATTCTTGGACGTTCGCTTTTACATAACATTCTTGCTGTTGGTGTCCACTGGCCTCCCCAACGGTGGTGTCACCGCCTTTGGTGCGTTTCTACCCATTATCTGCATCTCGTTGGCGTGGATGTGACTGACACGGGTCATAATTTTACATGTAGGCCCGTCTATTATCGCTGCGTTTGGCTTCAGTACCTCTCAAACAACTCTGTTGAACATGGGGTCAGGAGGATCTCAGGTGGCCGGCACCTTTCTTGCCCTGATCATTGCTAGATATACCAACCGGACCATAGCCGGTGTGTATACCCTGGTACTCGCATGCACCGGGGTAGTCATGATGTTGGCTATTCCCGCCGAGAACAATGGAGCCCGCTATGGAGGATTCATTCTCACGATGCAGTGTTCGTACCACTATAACCCTCCCTTCCCACACCCTGCAGGCCCTTTTCTTGTGAGAAGCCTAGTTGACTTTCATTGTCTTCGGGTAGTTCCCATCTGCGTTCTCTTCATCATAACCTTCTTGACGGCTGGCATCGGTGGCTCGACCAAGAAATTTGCCTTTGGAGCAGCGTACCAGCTCGGATATGCAGTCGGTAATATCGTCGGACCTCAAACATTCAGGGCAAACGATGCACCTGATTACTACGTGAGCACAAACGATCAGCGTCTTGCATCCTTGAATCTCATTTCTGACCATATTGATGTTGATTAGACTGCCAAATACACCATGCTTGCGTTTCTGATCTTTACAGCCATTCTCATTGTGGCCCTTGGGTCGATCCATAAGATGTGGAATGTGAGAAGGGACAAGCGAGAGGCTCTGGAACCTGAGGGTGGGTGCCGTTGTTGTCATCCGACTGTGGAGATGTTGTTGCTGACAAGATCATCGCCTCTTTCAGGTTCTGTACCCCACATTGAGAATGAGGAATTTGCAGATCTGACGGACTTTAAGATTCGATCTTTCAGATACCCTCTGTGAAGCCGCACTTTGATGTGTCTGGGTGGAAAGAGCCCCGAGTCTCAAGAGAGATCCCTATATCGCACTCATTCGTTGATTTATTCATTGACCACACTTTCCGATTTCACATTTGATTTGACTTGCGAGAACGGTCATATTACGAGGACTCCGATCGATGGTTCCTCGACATTCCGGCTCTGAATGAAAATGTATGTTACGAATACTGCCTAGACTGTGAAATGTGGCAAATAAGACGGCCGTATCATCTTGCCCGGCTCTTTGATAGGGAACAAGGAATCTTTTTAAGTCTCCTGGCCCTTTTTCGCATTTCTTAGAGTCGTAGACTCGATATTCTCTGTGGACTCATTCTATACGCTTCATCCGAGCGTCTCAATCTGTGTATGACCAACATTTCACCCAAGATGCAGATCCTAGACTGACGACTTGCTATGAAGCGAGATTTGACCCACGCAAGACCAGATGAACTCGAGCAATGGTTTGGCTTGCGACGTGTCGCTGGTTCCGATGGACAGGATGGTGCTATGGGTTTCCATGTCAGTCGCCGTCTCCAGAATGTTGTGAGTTCACCGACTTGGGAACTCACCTCAGATGGTTGTGCTTCTTGGTGACGTGCAACAACGGTAAAGTCCCAGCTGGCTTGCTTCGCTTTCGGTAGGCGTTGAAGAACATGATGGTAGCGTCGGTGGTTTCAGGTCAATCCTCGAGGTAAGTGACTTGTTGCGTGGCATCGATGAGAGAGAGGCTTGGAACACCTACATTTCCCATTCCACCATACCCAGATATACCGGGAGCGTCTGAGAGTCTCTGCAGGCGTGAAAGTTCAGTGACGATCCCATCATCTCAGGAACAACAACGTGGACACGACTTACAACGCCGGCGAATCGTTGGGGAGACGTTCAAATAGTCCGAGCGCGGACTTGGGCTGTCGGCACGGTCAGTAGGACAAATAAGAGCATAGATCACACCAAACCCAACCCAACCCAACCCAAATAATCATTCAATACTTACCCCCCAAACCTCTGCGGAATCGGAGCCATAGTAAGATTGAATTGTCTTCTGGCGCACCGGCTTTGTTCTATCGTACCAGAACGGCACATCAAGATAGATCACACCGGCTACCGGAGGGAAGGCAGCCCCTTTGGAAAGTCGCTCGGGGTCGCCTGAGAGAAAGAGTATTACAATCACTCGTTAGTTCAGCACGGAAACTTCTCCTTCTTACCTGCTGCGTACAGATTCATGGCGATATGTGCGCCACCAGAAGAGTGGCCGAATAGCACGACCTTGTCGACCGATCCCCGGCCAAACTTTGCCAACGAAATGTTGGTGTAGATCCACTCACGAGCCAGCTGCATGTCATCTGCCCCTCCGGGATACTGCACATGAGGCACCAGTTGGTGGTTGGCCACAACGGTGATGATGCCCTGTTGAGCGAAGAACCAGCCAATGTTGGAATACACCTTTTCGGTCCAGAGTTTGTCGCCAGAGAAGAAGCCGCCCCCGTGAACGAACAGAAGGACCGGTCTGCCTCCATCTTCCTCCTTGCTGTTGCTTCGCGGGACAAAAATATCCAGGCGATTTCTCTCAGCGGGTCCGTATTGCTCGTCTCGGACGACGCTGACGTTGGGAGGCGGGTCGGGATAGAACGGTTCGTATAGTTGCCTCCATTTCTATCCAGACCATTTGAAGATCGTCAGCGTGTCCCATGTCCAGCAGAGGGCCAGGAGACTAGTCGCAGGTCATATACGGGTGGGCAAGTGATAGGGGCATGTATAACAAACCTCCTCATCACCGAGACCGAACTTGGTGGTCTCTTGTGCAATTTTGGCAAACACCGCGTCCATGATGTTGGCAAGCCTGGGTGATGACTCTACGGGTGATATGGACACAAGAGTCCTAGAACCTTCTCAAGTCGGCACTATTTTTGTAATGAACAGAATTGACTTGACTCGTGAACCATCGTCGAACGAGGAGAAATCCGCTCCGGATCGCGGCTACCAAAGCGTGCCTAGAGCCGGCCCAGAGTTGTTTTGGGGGGTGGGGAGTTTGATTATCCGGCTCTGTACTTCCGAGTCACCAGAAGTAGCAAGCATCTTGCCCCTATGATAACCAACTTGGGGTATTGGCGTTTTCCAGATCAATTGGAATCACTCGGTCCGATGTAAGTATGATGCCGTCGGCTATTACATTTCGTGATCAAATTAAACATGACTGACTTGTCAATTGGAAACGGGAAAGTCCCGCAACCGACGTACTGGAGTTGCGGTGAAAACATCTTGTTATAAGGGATTTTCTTGCCGTGAAACACGATTGTACTGCGTTTTGGTAGCCCTCCAATCATCAAGGAGGCGTCTTTGGCTAATGATGTTGACCAGGTAAGCGAGTGCGATCGCTTGATGACTCTTCCCTGCTCACGACATTGGACCAACAGAGCGGATGTTCGACAGCATTCTACCAGGCAGAGCTGCTGGCTGATTATCAGCAACGTCGTTTACGATGTGACTGATTTTGTGGACTTACACCCTGGCGGCTCTTCCATCATCATGAAGTATGCCGGCCGCGACGCCACAAAGGCCTACGAATCCATTCACCCGGCCGATACTCTCGCAAAGCACCTGACTTCACGGTACGTGTATCTGACAACCTGGGATGGCCAGTCTGGCACAGGAAGCCATCTCATATGCATATCACATAGACAAAATCTCGGTCCTATTGCTGCGGAGGCCTCATCTTCGGTACATAGGCCTCCAAAGCCAGGCAACCGAGAGCTCAAGGCTGTCAAGGCGGCGGTTCCCAAACAGAAAATGGTCAAGCTATCCTTAATCATCAACATAGCAGACTTTGAATCGGCTGCTTCTCGGAAGCTTCCGCCAGGATCGTTTGCGTGTGAGTGCGGCTTGCTAAACCGGTTGACCAAATTGGTAACGAAGGATATCTGGCAGTTTTCAAAAGTGGTGCTGATGATGAAGATGCCGTCAATTGGAACCGTGACAGTTGGAGGGCAATTCGTTTCCGGCCGCGGGTCCTCCGGCCAGCAGAAAAGATTGACACCTCATGCACCATCTTGGGAACTAGATTCGCTGCCCCATTCTTCATTTGCCCGGCCGGCGGCGGGAAACTGGCCCACCCCGAAGGCGATGTGCTTCTGACAAGAGCCGCTGGTAGGCATGACATCCTGCATTGGGTGTGCAACAACTCCAGCTGCACTCAGCAAGCCATGGCGGAAGCACGCCTACCAAATCAGACGACCTACTGGCAGATTTATGCCATGGCGGATTTGGTAGTCACTGAGCGTGAAATCAAGCGAGCTATTGAGCTGGGTTACAGAGGCTTCGCTTTAACTGTCGACGCTATCCGGGCGGGGAAGCGAGAGCGTGATTTGCGCACTCGACTTTCCGAAGCGGAAGAAATTGAAGAAGGAAGAGGGGAAGAAGAGAGCGAAGGCTTCGCCAAAGAACCGGCGGTTACACGACCGTAAGTGATACCCCTTCCCTTTTCCTGCTTTATTCTTCCCCTCAACACGAAGGTACCAACATGGGCTGTATAGGCCAGTCTGGTCCAGTTTCGACTGGGTTTCAGCAGTGGGATGGCTTCGGCGCCTGACGGACCTGCCTATTGCCATCAAAGGCATTCAGTGTTGGGAAGATGCAGCCTTGTGCATGCATTACGGTGTTCACCCTTGGATCTCCAACCATGGAGGTCGACAACTCGACGGAGCACCATCCTCAGCAGAGACGCTGATAGAGATCCGCAAGCACTGCCCCGAGGTTCTGGACAAGTGCGAGGTCATTGTCGATGGCGGCATATACAGAGGTTCTGAAATAGTCAAGGCCATCGCACTTGGGGCAAAAGGTGTGGGTCTGGGTAGGGCTTTTTTGTATTCTCTGGTCTTCGGTGAAGCCGGGGTCAGCAAGGCGATTCGTATTCTCAATCACGAGCTCGAGACCACAATGGCACTTTTGGGTGTGACTTCGCTCGATCAGCTCAATTCATCTTATGTACGTGTCGTCCCAGCTTGATGCGTGAGTCGAGAGGTCGGTTCGCAACTAATATGAGCACGATCAGGTTGATACGTCCTCTTTAGCCTACGCCTTTGTTAGGCCACGATTGTAACGGCAACACAGCAGAATATGGTGGTCATTATACTTTGGAATTTTCCGAATGGTAATTGTGGGTCAAAAAGACAAAGACGGCAAATCCAGACCGGCCCGCTCGCGGCAGTCCTCGGTGATCTCTATTCGGCTTGGTCTCATTGATTGATTATTCCGGGAATGTATCGGGAGAGCGATGACCTACGGCAACTCGTGTACCACAGTGGCCTTACTAAGCTCCAATTGAGCCGGGCTGTACGAGCGTTGTCTACATGATGGACCCTCGCATAGTTGGTACTTTTTGCTACTCTTTGAACGTCGTTGAACGCTTTGGACAGAGTTATGTGCACTTGCCTTTCCATGCCCTTTTCCCCTCAACTTTCGTGCTGTGGCATATTAGACGCTCTCGGCCTCTCTAGTCCTCCTGCCGTCTCTTGGCCTCACTGGAGGCTTCCTTCAGAGGCTTCCTGACGCCCTGTGAACTTCCCACGAGTCTTGAATAAATCCCTGCTCTTTTGCCTGGTTGCGTCTCGTAGTGTGAGTGCACATTCTCTTGCCTCTACCTCCTGCCAGTGGCTGGAGGGGGCGATTTTACTGAGGTTTCGAAACGGGTGTCAGGGTACCTTTCCATCGTGCGGACAACGCTCGCACAGCTAGACTCAATTGGTTCCTAGTAAGGTCGCTGTGGTGCGTGGGTCACTGTGGATGGTTCTGTTGGACAGTAGTCAGTGCCCCGTTATTGGAAAAAGGGTCATCATTCCTATTTAGGATACAGAGGTAGGAATAGGGGTCGAAAAATGCCTGACTAAATGTGTATATATACTGACGATCTGGCAGGTCCAGTTGCCAAACAGACAGAGCACTCAACAGCAATCAATGTACACCCACTGATAGTTTAGCAGATTCACCCCTAGAAAGCCCTCAAGTGAGAGACTTAGGCCCAGGAACCACTGAGCTCTTCACGGACGTGCAAGCTCAGCCATCAAAGCATTGAGCTTGATTGTATTATTGTGTTTCGGGGCAACATCGATCCCAATTGGATTCCGAACGGCTCGATTTACGAGCCCCCTAACACAATAGGCCTGTCTCAAATGGCCGGAGCATGCCTCGCAATCGACGCTCAACGAACAAGCAGGAACGCAAGTAAAGCAATTCCTGGATTCGGACCGTTGCCGCCAATGGATCCTGTATTCTCTCCTTTGGCAACGGAAGAATTTCTCTCTGCAAAAGTTGTTTGCCTTGCAGTCCAAGCTAATGGCATGGATGGGAATTGCTCCTACAGATGAGCCTCCAACGTACCTGAACTGGGCTTCTGATGTTGCGATGATACTGCGAGACGTGACTCGCACATGGCTCCAGATACCGACCTTCTAGTCGAGTTTTGTCGTATATCGACTCAGCCACAGAGGCAATAGCGACTCACTTTGAGAAGCTGGCGATCGTTCGCGGCCTTTCCCAGAACTTCACACAGACGAAAAGTCTGACAAAAGAGGTCATTCTGTTGCAGGAAGCTTTGCAAGAGCGCAGGTTTAAATATGGCGAAGAGAGATTGGGGATAGAGTGGCCGCCGAACACCCCTGGAACCATTTGGGACAAAGAACGGCGATTGGATTAAGGCATAAAAGCTCAAGAAGAAGCGCTGGTCATCGGGTTCGATTTGCAGACGTTTTGCCGAATAATCTGGACCAAGAACGAGCCGGGCCGCATGTACCGCCATCAAGCTCGACATGTCGAAACCAAACAAATACATCTTGAAACCTTATCTGCCATGTCGCTGCCATCGACAGACCGAGCCCTGGCGAATTTGGAGATGATCTGGACCCTTAACACGCTGGCCCGCGTATATCGTAAGTAATGGCGTCTGGGGGAATGCATCTCATACTCGTCGAGATCACTGGAAATCAGGCGCTCCACGTTGGGCGAGGACCATACACACTGCTTGTGGCTGCTAAGGGACATGATACAATGTCATCTTCGAGAAAGCCGACATTGACGCTTCAATCCGGTTCCACCGTGACGCATACACATGCTGACGACAAGTCCTCGTGCAGACAAAAGCATGAGATAATGCAATGACCCAAGGTGAATTTGTCGGCGAATATAGGAAGTCAGCGCGCAATCAAACAAGTTCGGCACTGATAAACACCCATGCCAATGTCTTGTTCGAAAACTATGGCCGATGAATCACAGGAGTCAATTTCCTCACACCTAGCCATGACTCTAATGGCGCCTGACAGGCAAACTAGCGGGTCAATAAGCGACAATATGTATGTAGGACTATAATATACAAAGTTGTGGACAAGTAGCCAATCCGTTCTTGGAGGACGGAAGTACGTAAAGTAATTCGCTCAGCGAACAACATTTTCCTCGGCATCCGGCAAACTCTGTTCGTTACCTAGCTTGGGGTTCCGGAGACAGAGAGAAAATCCGATCAAGAGTACGGAGAGGCAAATACCTGTGATGCAAAGCAGCCTCTGTACATGTTGATAAGCGTCGATGATAGCCGCGCGTTCCGGGGTGCCCACTGGGTATTCCGTGATGACTAAAAGCGGGTTGGCATATGTCGACGCTGAGAGTGTGGAGTTGCCAAATGGTGCAAGGCGGTCGTCGAGCTCTGACGGCAAAACTTGAGTCCAAAGGGCACCCGATACGGCTCCGCCGAGCGCGGAGCCAATGTTGTAGGTGGCAAGATAGAGGCCCGTGATGACGGCGACGTGTTCATGCTTGGTGGCAGCTTGGATTGATGCTTGCGCAGGATATGGGAACAGACCTCCCGCGAAACCGAGTAGAACTTGGGCACCAATCACGCCCGATTGACCGGCTGAATTGGGAGATCCACGATAGTGAATCAAGAGACCGAAAGCGACCATGAAGAGACAGGTTCCGGCAACGATGAACCATTTGAGGCGCCGAACCTTGAACACAATCAGGCCCAAGACGAATCCCGTAATGACAGATGTGAAGCTGTATAGAGATGAAATCCGAGTCGCGCCCATGACGCTGAAGTTGAAGGCCACGCGAAGGACAGTGAAGAGGTAATCGCCTTGCATGTACCAGGCAAAGTTTAACGTGCAGGCAATTCCCAGGGCGCCCCAGACGGCTCGATCTTTCAGTAAGTGGAAGGGAACCAGTGGATGGGGCACTTTCAGTTCGACGAAAATGAACGCAGGGATGCAGAGGAATCCAATCACCAATGGTGCAATAACGTGAGCCGTGTGCCAGGACGACGTCGAACCGCCTGCAATGGTCAATGGAGTCAAGATGAGGGCAAACACTGCGATCAGTAGGATGATGCCGGGAATGTCGAGAGCCCAGAAGAGTTCCATGGTTAACTTCCTTGCTCCCATCATCTGGTACGGCGATTTGTATTTGTCCAAGATTCCGGCTTTGCGTGCCCGACGGCCAACAATGTAGAGTGTGATCATAAGAGGCAGGGCGCAGACGGGGTAAATGATGCACCACATTCCGATTCCCCACTGCCAGGTCGTGACACCCAAAACAGCGGAGGTGATGTTGCCACTGACCCAGGTGTTGATAATAAAAGGCAGAGCAGGAATGTAGCTGAATAGCAATCGAGATCGGAGGGAAGTGATATCGGCGACGATGACTTCGACCAGCAGGATAACACATGTGTAGCCAATTTGGTAAAGGACTGATCCTCCAGCAAAGGTTGAGACATTGGTCGCACATGCCTCGATGATGGTACCGACGACGTAGAAAACTACACTGACAAAGATCAATTCCAAACGACCGAAGACGTCGGCAATTTTCGCCGAGGTGGGTTGTGCTGCGGCAGCAATGACAGAACGAAGAACGTTGATCGTGGCCAATAGAGAGTGCTCTTCCATAGAAGATGTCGCTGTGGTTTGATAGGTGTAACGAACAGTGCCGTCCAGACCGTAGGCGTAGGCTATCAAAAACACACCGATGAAGAGGAATACACGGTCGGTCAATGTCAGGACTTCGGTCAACGCCTCGATTCGCGCCACACCGGGCGACTTCTCGCCTATGATGATGGAACCATGGCGATTGGATGGTTGTTCATTGTAGTCGGCTGGATTCTCCTCGACGGCTTTGGGCTCGTTCGGAAGGTCATAGGCTTTCGGATGCGCATCCTCAGTCGAGAGGGACATGATGGCGGATGGTGATATTCTGTTTTCCTGTTTAATCGGCAACGAATCAGATAAATATTCGATCTGTCGTCTGCTCCCAGCCGACGAGGGAGAAGGAGACTACCGAGTCAGCTTCAGCTTGAGAATCCCAAAGGGAAGGAGAGATCTTTTATGCCAGGGCAGACGTGGTCCCCTAAGCCAAAGCTGGTGCTCGGCGGATGCCGTTGTGAAGGAAAAGTAAGGATGAAATTTGAAGAGGGTAACAGCACTACTGGGGATGACAAGCGCCACCAAGCGGCTATTTGGTGTCCAGGCTTTATGGATATTGCATAATATTAACCTAGAGATTTGACAGTAAGAGGTGGGGGTTTTGCTGGAGAGTGAGTAGTATTGGCTATTATCTTATCAGATGCAGAATTTTTCACTGGTGTGGGTAAGAGATCAATGCCCACAGGTCCAGAGTGTGTGCTGAAGTGCGGCCTAGAAAACTCCCTCAGGTAGTGGCCCGGAGCTGAGCAGGGTCTCTTAAAGTCGCGGAGGTGATAGTAGAGGCTGATTGTAACGATCCAGGTCAGCCTAGACCTCATCCCATGACGGAGACAAGGCATCTAATCGCGACATCTAATCAGATCGGTTGATGAGGAGTTGGACTGACAAGGCGCTTCCCGATATTAATGGAGCATCATCAGCCAGTAATCGGTCGCCAAGGGAGGCCATAATGTTTGCCAATTAGTGCCGCTCCAGGCTAGCCGTGGGATCCAAAGTCAAAAAAGTCTCGCAGGACCCAATTATCATTCCAGGCAAGCTTCGGACAACGTGGAAGTTACCCTCAGGTAACAGTGAGGAATAGCTGTCGTTCTTCGACCTTCCGAAACCGGAGACTACTTAGGTACTCAGCCGGAAGGAGCCAGATTGGGCTCCCAGACTTGGCTCAGGGAGTTGCTTAGGGACTGCTCTGGGCGCTCAGGGCCGCGGACAGGATATTCCACGAAGGTTAAAAGCGTAGCTTCTGTATTTTGGGGGCTAGCCCCCCAAACCCCCAGGCCTCGCTGCGCTCGAGACGTCACGTGATTGAGCCAGCCACAATGGTCTTGGCAGTTCTTGGCGGCGCACACATGGGGCCCCACAACGATTCACGTGATTGGCCAACCCTCGGGATCCGGAAAATCTATAATCCGACAACTACCAAATCCTTTGCTCTGATTGGCTGGCCCCATCGGATCCAATCCACGGCCCATCCAGGAGAGTGTGCCGCATCCCGGAAAATCCCCTAGGGGTCGCGGACAGGATATTCCGCGGGGGGTGAAAGCGTAGCTTTGTCTTTTGGGGGCAAGCCCCCAAACCCCCGGCCTCGCTGCGCTCGAGAGATCACGTGACTGAGCCGGCCACATTGGGCTTGGCAACTCTTGGCGGCGCACACATGCGTAATTGCGACCCCTCGGGATCCGGAAAATCTATAATCCGACGACTCTGGCGCCATCGGATCCAGTCTACGGGCAACCGCCAGGCCCTCGTGTCACGTGATTAGCCAAGCCTCCGGAAAATCTACAATCCGAGGATTACGTAATCCTGTGGTTGACCTCATCGGATCCAATCCACGGCCCACTCAGGAGAGTGCGTCGGAGCCCGGAAAATCTATAATCCGGCACCCAGTCACGTGCTCTAATTGGCCAACTCCATCGGATCCAGTCCACGGCCCATCCAGGAGGGGTGGAATGCCGCCGTATCCCGGAAAATCTATAATCCGAGCGCCAATCACGTGCTCTAATTAAAGCGTAGCGTTGAGCGGAGCTTTTTCTAGACTCCGACCCCCCCGCGTGAGGCGTTCAATTTTGTTCACGTGACTGGAGTCGTCTCTGATTGGTCCAAAAAAAGACCAATCACATGATCTACCAATCACGTGATGCAGAGCCCTTGGCCATCTCCAATGCGGTGAGCCCGCCGCGTGGCCGGCCAGCCTCCAAAATACAGAAGTGTAGCTTTTACCCCCCGTGGATCCTGTCCACGGCCCCTAGTTGGCCAACCCCATCGGATCCAGTCCATGGCCCATCCAGGAGGGGTGGAATGCCGCCATAGCCCGGAAAATCTATAATCCG